ACTATCCTAACCAGCCAACTCCTCATTATTTACATATTTTTTTAATTCTTATTTACATACCAAACATCTCCTACTGAAATAAAAAACTGGAAATGAATGGCATTTTCTCCCATTTAAAGCTTTATGTTAAAAGAGCAAATAGGTGAGCCTTACAGTATGACATCTTTGAACAGCTGACATCACAATAATAACTTCAAAGAGTCACTTCACACTTTTAAAATGGAGAGTCAGCAATTGATCAGCAATACATAAAGAGGAAACAGAATTACAGGTATAAGGTTAATAGCTCATTTCTTTACTAAAGGAAAGCCCTAATAAAACGCAACACTAAGGAGCTGTGTTTTACATTAAAGGTGGTGATTAGCATTGCAGTCAGTACATGACTAGACTATGAGAACTCACTTGCAATAATGAACTCTGACCACTGGCTTTGATATGCATTACAGTGATGTGTGAGCTGACAGTGGAGTTATTAGCTGATGCTCATTTCCAGAGTCTATTTCTGGGTCTTCCTGACTCAAGTTATTCAATAAAGCAGTGCATATGCAAATCTTATAGCAAAGTATAGAAATCACAGATATCACATGAATTCTTTGCTGTTTTGTATCAGTATTATTTATCTAACAAGAAAATAAGGTTTTCCATAGCCCATAGATGTTAAACTAGTGCAATAAGGATCACATCCAAAATCCACATAAATATGGACCAAAGTTTTAGTAAAACTGTCTCTCAATCTATCTACATTGTGATTTTCTCACTGATGTTGTACACTTTCAAAACGTAATTCCCACTGTTCAGCTCAGGTAAGCCTACAGGGTCTAGTCCAACTATTATTAGAAATACTCCATATTATTTTATTCATATTCATTACAGAAAACAAATTTGAAAGATCAAGCAATTTAGAATCAAATACATACTGGAAGGAGCCCCACTATCTCAATTGTTGTCTGATGAAATCTATGAGTTTCAGCTCTCAGACATATTCATATCTTTAAATATCCTGAGTTTTGAACCACAGACAAGTCAAGTATCATCATAAGAGAACACGCAGAAAAATAAATAGTTTTATCTTAGCACATAGTAAAGTTATGCCTTCTAACTTCACCTGTGAGACAGTCAAGTTAACAATCATGACCCAGTATAAGCTTCCTGAGATAGTTCATTTATAAGAACAACTTTCTAAATTAGGTAAGAATTTAAAAGCAAGTATAAGGTTAGGTAAGAATTTAAGAGTGAAAACGTGCCATACTAATAGAAGCTAAGAAATTCTCATCAACACTTATTACTAGGACAATTCTAGCAATCTGATCAGTACAGAACACAACAAAGTGACTGCAGGATTCAAAGCAGGAACAAAAACCTCAAGCCAAAGAAAAAAACACTAACTTTTTATCAGTACATATAATGTATATGGCAAGTTGACAGACACAGAAAAGACAAGGTACCTAATGACAGCAACCTCTTTGAATCAGATCTTATACTGTTGAAGATGTTTGCTCCCACAGTGAAGAGTTCAATTTCTTATCTAAGTAAAATATACCAGAAGTAACACCCAAAGGGAAAAGAAAACCTAATGGAAATTTTTAGTAATTTAGATAAGAAACATTCATGATTTAAGCTATTTGTCCCCTTAATTTCAGCAATTTCTTTAAAAAATCATCCATTTTAAAATAGCTAAAAGCAAACTCCACAATTACCATATTGGCCTTGAAGTCCACATTTTTAACATAAAATATTAAAATAACATTTTAATATTTTTAACATAATATTTAACATAAAATATTAAAAATTATCAAAAATACAAGGCAATAGAATTTTAGAAGAGCTGTAACAATACTATCAACAATCCTTAAGGCCAGACTAGTAGGCTTAATACAAGCATAAAATATGCAATTATATGGGAACTGCTGCATCACAGCCTGAAGCACTGATTGAGCACCTGAGGCGAGCACTGAGTCAGCCATGGAGCACAGGTGAAGGCAATTCAGCTGTGTGATGGAAGGGCTGGAGCCTGGCTGCACCTCTCCTAGACCCATTTGAGAGCTGGATACTAGTAGGGAAGGATCTTTGGGGGAAGATCCCTCCTTTGGAGTATTCCAGTAAGCCCAGGACAAGCGTAAGCCCCTCATCTATTATTTTTGCTGTAATAACCTACTTAGCCAAGCTCTCTTATTTATTTCTTAATTATAACACATCATTAATTATACAGCAATCAAGGGACAAATTCCATTTAAAACTCATCCTTCCACTATGTGGCATTTTCTTACTAAACAAATACTAAGTATTTATAAAACTGCTGTTACATGGTATAAAAGGGAAAAGGTATACAAGCAATACACTAGATTCATGAATAAGGATAAATAACCCTTGAGAAGAAAAATGAACAACAACAGAACACTCGCTTCCCACAAAACAGAGTTTTGTATCTTTGGATGTTCATATATTCAAAAACTAAAGGCCCTTATTGAAACATATTAAAGGTCATGGGTTTTTTTGTTATTTTAGCTGGGTTTTGTGTGATTTTACAGCTACCACTCACATGTGCTGGAACTTACCTTTGTGAGAGATATAATTCTGCAGAACATTAGTGGGATATAGCTAGAACTCCATTGCTAAATTGAAAAGCAATAGAGTGAAATGTCTCCTGTACTACACAGTGTTAAAAATAACCCTAAAAGTGGAGCAATAACAAATATTACAAGGTATTTTTTGTATTCTTACAAATGCTAAATACTGAAGACATTTAAAATACACTTAGTATGCAACAGTATATCATTACAAGCTTAAGACATGAAAATACAATACTTGAATATCTGTGCTGTTGTTACACTGAAGTGTTCAAAAATGCTCAAAAGAGGATTTGAAGCTTTTCCACAGGGATTGTTACAAGTCTGTTGACTTACAGTGTCAGCTATGAACAAATGAGACTAACATTGGAGTGCATCTCTTGTTAAAATGTTAAAATACAAATTCCTCAAATGTTCATGTCTCTATTGGGAAACATATAGGAAACTGAGAATGATGGAAAAAAGAAAAGAGATAAACATGAGGAGCAAGCAAGAAATACGTTAAGATTAAAGAAGAGAGAGGGAGAAAAAAAATGAATTAGCTTAGCTACTTTATGGCACAAACAAATACAATAATCCTCACCCTCATCCCAATTCACTCTTATTTTGAAATAAGGTAACTTGTTGCATCTAAAAATAGCTGTTAAGTGCTAATTTAACTTTTCATCATTTTTCAGCAATCTTTTTTGCTGCTACCATTTCTTTCCCCCCATTAAATGAAGTCAAAGGAAAAAGCTTTCATTGTAGAAAGACATGGATGAAGTACGAAGTTAGAGAAAACAGACTTGATAAGAAGTGATCCTTCATCACCATCAACAGTACTAAAATATAGTAGCTTTCCTCACAGAGACATTTAACCCCAAAAGATTTGTGTCCAGTTTTACTCATAAATTACCCATTACAATAGTTGCAGATTCTTTCCACATGCCTACTGAAAGGCAAAAGAGAGCAAATGTTCACTGAGCTACACATGTACCCACTTTTTAGCCACCAAACCAACATAGAATCAATTGTCACCCAGTGTTCATTACAGCATGTGCACGCTTCCAGCTTTCTTTGGTAGAATTTTGTGGAAACATGAATATATGATGCATTTTTGTCACAGGTTTGGTGTATGGGCTAATTTCAGAGAAGCCAAAGAATCCAGAAAACAACAGATGAGAGAACAGCAGAAACTTTGCTCACTCAGAAATCGAGCAAAACAAATTATTCAGTGAAAGTTGGCTGGTAAGACACAAGAATGATTACTGATGTGTTATTACTTGGATAATAGCTGATCCTTAGATAACAGTACCAAATACAGTAGTAGCTAAAATTATTAGTAGTTCACTGGATACCCACAGTTATCTTTAATAATACCAAGAAAAGAACTTTTCCTGGCTGCTATACCTTGATGAGCACGCATCCATTGGCTATCTATATTAAGTATAATGGCAGGCACACAGAGCTCTCAAAGAGTATTCATTAGACAGAGGAAGACTGCTATTATCACATCCAGCATTCTGGCTACAGAAATATTTTATTGTAAAATAATTAGAATATCTGTAGGTTAATACTAAAGATAGAAAGCTTTACTATTTGTGTTAAGCATAAAAGCTTGCAGCAGCATAATCAGACTGCATACGATAAAAACAGAATTAAATACTACCTTCTCTGTATTCAAGCTTTTTAAAATCTCAAGCAACTCAATTTCCTAGTTGATTTTTAGTCTACTCAGTACACTAAAAGCACCAAAATAATACCATAAAAGACCAAAAATGATGTCCTCATCTTTTGCAATAAAAGCAGTGGGAGAACAATTATAACTTTTTTGTATGCTTTTCTTGTTTTTTAAATGTTGTGTTCATTTTAATCAATCAAAACAAGACAGTATGGCATGCTGTGATTTCTAAACTGTAACACTATCTGACACCATGAAATCAGTGAATGCAAAAAGGACCCCATTTTCTGGGAGATCAGAGGAAATGAATAGCTATGTGTTCCATCACAGCCTAAACAGTGGAACAATAGGAAGGAGACTTTAAGACGTCTTGAAACATACTGAGTGTGCCTATACTAAATGTCTCACAGTATTATCTTAGATATTCAGGAACTTAAAGAGGATAGTGTATTTGCAGAGGAACTAAATATCTTTTAAGTCACTTAAAAGGTATTAAAGTCATTGTTTAAAGTGTTTTTTTAACATGTTAAGATTTCTATGATTTTAATACAGATTTAGCATATGAAACATTAACGACAATCAGACTTATATAATAGAAGCTCAAAAGCCATAAGGTTATGTTCTATCTCAAATTTCCTATACATTTTCTACATCTCCTCAGTGTCAGTCAACAGAGTAATAACAGTGAGATCTACATTACTGCTAAGTCCTAATTGAATGAACTACGCTGAGACAAATAAGTCAGAACAGCAAAGAGTAGATAATTATACCACCTCACAGAAGAAGGGCTGTGTTCAGTCAGGGCCACCAACAGTTTCAGAGCATACAGTGGTACTGGGTCTGGAGTCATCAGGATATGCTCATACCTAAAGGGGGAAAGTGAAGCAACATTTTAAAAACACAGCACCAAGAGCTGTGTGTTAATAAGTTTATTACAAATGCAACAATTTCATATTTCAAATTTCATAATAGCCACAGTAGAAAAACAACGCTGTTAGAAAGCTCATGAAACAATAAAGAAGACCAGCTTAAAAGTAGGATTTAAAAACAGCTTCAGATTAACTTTTAAAACAGCATTAATAAAAGAACTAACGGGTTTTTCCATATGGAGATAACCAAGCCTCACAGTATTAGCCAGAAGGACCATCAATCAACACACACATGATTAATAGCTACTTTTTGCTTAAATATTTATTTTTTTCTCAAATATTTTACTTGAGGAATATTTGCATTGAGCTCTGTATTTTATTTCAAATTTAATTCAATATTGTTTTAACTATAGCATACTTGCATTACCCAAGTGACATGGAACAGAACAACACAAAAATAACATTTACCAAGAGCCATAGTATTCAAGATAATACTACAAGATAAGCACCTATTAAACATTTCAAAATACCATCTCCTGGATACCTTGATGTAATGCTATAACATAATGGAAAACACAGCAATAACAGCAGGGAAGCAAAGTCCTCAGCTGCAGCAAACAAGGACAAGCCCAAATGCAGCAGCCATTAACACAGAACCAAAGGAAAAAAAGCTGCTTACCTTGGGAAGGCCTCAGCTAAGCAGGGGTCTCCAGCAAGATACCCTCACCTCCACTGCCAGCCCTTAAATGAGTTCTGGGAAGGGGTGGATCCTGGCTCCAGCCCTTCCAATCACTCAGGTTCATTACTTGCACCTGAGCTCCCCTGGTTTGGCCCTGCCTTCCCACCAGGTGTTCAATCAAGGTCCAGGCTGTGACTCAGCAGTTCCACTACACTTGGTAAAGAAAAAGGAAAACAGGCTGCTGATAAACAAAATGGACCTTGCTGTTGTTGCCCGTTTTCCAATAATGCTCATTCAATAAACAGGATTGTATTTATCTTTTTAAAATCATAGTGTATCTGGAGGGCAAGAGGATGATGATGGAAGAGAGAGAGATGACAGCTTAAAGGAGACAGATGCAACCATATCAAAACTTGTAATCTGATTATAAGCAGAGCTACTCTAAACATGTGGGAGTTAACAGAAGAGAAAGCACAGATGTGTTGGTTTGTAAGAGAAAAACATGAAGAATTAATCAATAAATCATGATTTGTAAGAAGATAATGGTAGATCATCATATCTTGTGCACCAAAATGCTTCCCTAACGTTTTTCCTTCCTTGGGTTCTGGCGAAGGAGGGAGGAGGAGGTGTAAAAATCAAGGAAACTGATGAGAAACGTGCTTCACGTGTTGAAATTCCTCATCATGACTGAACGAGGAACCTGCATCACCTGTCACCAAGCTGGCACGTACTTTCTATGGTATGCCGGCTCTTCCATGGAACAAAGGTTCCCCCTTTGCACCTCAGCACTCTGATCTGCACAGGAAAGAAATCTAGAAGGCTACAATGAGATGTGGTACTTTCTGGCTCCATCTCTCATCTGGATGACTCTCAGACATGAAGGGTTGAGCACTCCAATTCCACACTCTTGATGCAGCCTGTGGGATTTCATTCAGAAGAGACAAATATTCCCACACAAGCACACAGCCTACAAGCAGTGCATCACAGCTTCTCTGTATTAGCCTAAATGTGCTGCCAAAGACTTGTAAAGCACTCACATGCTGGAGAACCTATGTTACTGGCCAATGACTAGACAATGTTACTTCATGTTTCTGGCAACCAGAATTTCTCCTTTATAAACAACAGATTTCAGCTACTGAAGGAAAACTGCTTCTCACTGGTAATTAAAGATTCCCTTTCCTCATAAAAGGAGAAGATACCATGATGCATTAGTAAACACTGATGCTGGAACGCTGCACACGTGCAGTACGTATTCCTACCAAGCATGAAGGAATTATCTGTTTTGTTGTTTTGTTTTTTTTTGCAGGATCTACAACAAAATGTTCTGAGATAAGCAAAGGTGCTATATAGTGACTTGGGAATCAGAAGTCTTCGGCTCACTTAGTAAGATGAAGATTTAGCACTCAAAAATGTTAATTCTTAACAGTAATAATGCATCAGGCATACTAGCTTGAAACTCTGACATTACTTGTTTTATACAAACATGTATGTTTATATAAATACACTTGTTTTTCTTATGTCAATATCTTCTCTAAATTGAGTCCACTTAAAACTCTTTAAAGCCATCTGTGTATTCCATCTGAGAGAGATTATTACTATTCTGCACACTTAGCATCTGAATTCCTTGGAGTTCAAAAAATGAGTCTTATTTAATTCCCTCTTACATCAAACCCTGTTTTTCCCCCCAAGATAATTAGAAAAAAATACAGAAGGAGCAGTGATCTAACAAACCAAACACCACCTGAGAAAGCACAGATTACTAAAGTGAATTTCTTAGCAATTAATGTAAACACATTTCCTGAGTAAAGGTCATTATCAACTATGAATACGTGAATCTGCCATGAAAGGGAAATGTTCTGTGCATAAAGACTTTATTAAATGAATGAGTTCACCCAGTGGTTTTCCAGCCCCTTCAAAATGCAAACTCACTGAGTAACAGCAGTTTCAAAGAGCATTTTATAATGGTTCTCCTAGCAATATGACCACAAAGAGTTTAGTCAGTCTTCTCCACAAGTGACAAGCGGACCTAAGGGTTGTAAAATATGGATTCTCTTAAGCTCTTAAAAAACTAAACATTTTATCTACACATTATCTCAAATATCCAGTATTTTCTACTTGCAGAATTGGCTTGACAGTCTGCTTGGAACAAGATACATAACCTTAGAAATGAAATAAAACCTTTTTTTTTTTAATAAACACATTCTTCTCCTGTCATTGGCTCAAATTAACTATGTTGAATAAGTAGGAAAATTAATAATTAAATGAGAAAAAGATGGCATTTGAATTTCTGATTTAAAAAAAGATATGGATCAGAAATAGAAAATAAATGAGGACATTCTTTTTATAGAAGAAAGTTTCATTTTGGTTAAGGGATGCTCAGAAAAACGACTGCTCAGTGAGGTGAGATGAAATGACAGTTTCACTTGAACAAAATCCTATGAGCAAGTTAATCTTTTGATCTTTAAAAGTACAAATATTCAGTGGAAGAACTATCTTACTGATTGTGCAAAGATGTGAAAAAAGTAGTAATCGCTTTTTTGTCCTGCATTTATCTCAAAAAGATACAATTTATATTCATGCAGAGTGACCAAAATTCTACTCCATGGGTCACTTTTACATTTAAACAAATTGCATTGTTAAGCTTAGATGCTCCTCAATGGCTCTCAGTTATTAAAAAGCAGGGTTCCAGAGTGCCCAGGTACAGCCATTGCATTCCTCCTCTCATGTTCTGATTGCTCTCCAGCTGAGTCACATTCTGTCACATCCTTTGTCCAAGAACAGAAAAGCTGAACAACTTCAGCAAACACCTCTTCAGTCTCCAAACACAGGCCATCACTCTCTTTACCTTCTATCCCAGACTCTTCCTGCAACTCTTACTTCTTGGGGTAGAGATTTATGTTATATCTTTAAGCGTAAGTCTGAATCTAATCTTAGACCTCCCTCTGTAGTTTGGAGCCAGTGCCCTTTGCATTCAGATTCTTTTGAGAACTGTAGATACTATACAAGAATTCATTCCTACCTCCCATAAATATTTTCTGATCCATACCTAAAACATTATTGAACAAGACTTATCTTTAGTATCTTCTTGATATTCAAAGCAGTTGATTTGATCTTCTCTTGGTCTCCTTTTCTAATATCTCTCAAAACAGTTTTGAGACTTTCAAATCAAAACTGAGTTTTCCATTAGTCTTTCAATGCTTTTTGTTCTATCTGTGCTTTCTTGCACTGATTACCTGCTCCCCAAAGCTGAATGCATTTACTAAGCATTAGCTCAACCTACACGTTCAAGTAATGTATTGTACACAACTGTATGGGAAGTGCTGAGTCACGGCCTGAACCTCTGATTGATCACCTGAGGCGAGCCATGAGTCAGCCAGAGGAGCACAGGTGAAGGCAATTCACCTGTGCTGCCGGAAGGGGTGGAGCCAGGCTCCACCCCTCCTGGACCTATTTAAGAGCTGGCTACCACAGGGGAAGGATCTCTTCTGGAGATCCTCCTCTTTTGGTATCTTCTAGTGAGCTCAACCCAAGGGTAAGTTCTTCTACTTATTCTCTTTTGCGATCCTTGTTTGCTTTTGCCTTACTCTTTTGATTATATTGCAATTATAACATCTTGGTTATACAACAACACTAGTTGATTCTTTCTGAATTATATATTCTTTTACTGTGCTCCTAAACTGAGGTAAAATTTGTTTATAACTAGTTCCAATATATTTAAATTATCATAACCTTAAATATTTTTAAGATAATCTCTAAATGCTTTTCAAATACAAGTATCATCATCTCCACTGGTGACATAAAGGAACTGATTCAGGAAATATTTAAAACAAGCCTGGAACCAAGATTCTGAGCTACTGCAAGACCCTTTTTACACATCTACAATACATATCCAAAGACATTTCACAGCTGTATTCTTCAAAGTACAACTGCATTTAGTTTCAGACTGGAAAGGTCTGCCACCCAATCGAGCTAATGAGCAGAAGAAACTGCAGTGCACTGCTTGTTTTCTTTCTAGTTCGCAGTTGGGACAACCCCTCCCTCAGTTCAGTGAGAAAACATTTTATAAGATGGGCACATCTTCAAAGGGCAAGTTTCAAAGCAGACAGAAGCTGGTCTTGCTTGACTCAGACTCTTCCCAATCTGAAGAAAATTATGTCAGCTTTTAATAATGCATAAAACTCTATACTTTAATAATATTTCTACTTTCAATTTTAACCCATTTTAATAAATCCCATGTTTTCGAGTGAAGAAATAGTGTGAAAAAGGTGTGAAAATAAACTTCTCTATACATCTGTGACTTCCCATTCTCTCACAAAGGAAATACTACACATCTTGCATGTACTAAACTTTAATCCTCAGACTGTAAGAATGTGAGTCAATTAGCAAGAGACAGCCTCATTTATATGGAAGACACTAAGTTTCTGATCATAATCCAGCATCCATTCCTCCGCCCTTCTACCACTTACTTAATATAAGGGTGGGGAACAATTTCCTCATTTAAGGCAGTGAAGTACTGACAGCTACTAACTTCTGAGGACCACACATTAAAATACTCTGTAACATTATCCTGGAATAGCGTGAAAGATAACTGAAGGCTCATCTTTACTGTACTCATCCTATGTCTGTGTTTTCTCTCCCTCTACTGAGATGTGATATGTATACACAAGAATAACATACGGAGCTCTCTTTATGCTCACCTGCAAGTCATTTTGAAATGACAGCCCTCCTTTTACCGCATGCCATATAAATCAAGTTCCAGGTCACAGCTGGCCCACAGGCTGTAGTTTCATAGACTGGGGTAGGGTTTTATTCCTGCTTGGGGCAGCAGGAAGGGCAGCAATTTAGAGGCAATAAACTTTGAGTGAATCATGGAGGACTAATCCATCATGTTCTTTTCCCGTTTCCAAAGTTATAAGCCATTCCATATGATCTCTCAACATCTTCCAGGAGGGCACAGTATCCAAAATACAATTGAATTATTCCAATTTCATCAGTTGAACAAGGAGAATATATTTAAATCACAGCTAGGGAAACTTGCTTCACTACAAGAGTAGCCAGAGGCACAGTATCACCAAGATGCAAAAATGAGTGTCAGACAGAAACCGTGTTTGTGTTACATACAACCAAGTACTGAATAAACCTAGGAGAAAGATGTTTCTGGGCAGAGAACTCTGACAGTAGTTAAAAGCCATTCCTTTTTTTCATTTTGCCACTTAAACATGAAACTGGCATTTAAAACAAATATGCTGTCAAAATGGATTGAATATCAAGTTTTCTCCCACTGAAACAGCAATGTTGTACTTACTGAGGCAGCAATGAATCTCTAATGAGAGACAGAAGCTTCCTGTTTGAGTCGAGGCTCTCCTCTTTCTCCTCAGCCATAACCTTGTGGTTTAAGAGTAGTGATGTGGTTTCTGAGAGCAACCGCAAACTGAAGAGTCTCCATTCCACTTGAAAATAAAGGTGCCAAGAATGTGACCACACTGAAGTTTAATTAAAACAAAATGTGGAATTCATGCAAACTGTAGATGACGTGGCTATATACTTACCATTCTGACTGTGGACCAAAGAAACTAGTGGTGGGAGGATGCAGCCTTCAACCTAAAAGAGAGAATTAAAAAAAAATCTGGCTTAGATTATTCACAGAGGAAAAAAAAAAAAGAATAAAAGAGATGTATCTGTATTCATTCCACTGTCAGAGTCCTTAATCAAAGAGGTGAGTAATCATAGAAATTCATCCATAATCACACTTATAAAGCCACAAAGTAATTTTATCCCTGGTTTGTAAAGTTGCAGGCAGTAAAGTACTTACACAGAAAAAAAAACAGTGCGTTTGCTAGAATTTACTGAGAGTGAATTTTAATTTATAATATCAGATTCAGTGCAGATGCAAAAAAAAGTAACCAAAAAGAGCATGGGCGCATCTACTAGTCCCAGTGTTTTAATCCATAAGCTAGAAATCAAGTAGAACAAAGAAGAAATATGAAGCAGGGCCAGTGGCGCAATGGATAACGCGTCTGACTACGGATCAGAAGATTCTAGGTTCGACTCCTGGCTGGCTCGGCTGCTTGTTTTGCCCAGAGATGTGGTCATGGAAGCCCCATGCGCGGAGACACCCAAGGTCAGGCTGGAGCAGACTCTGAGCGACCTGTCCCTGTTGTCCCTGCTGTGCGCGTCCCTGTTCTCACTGCAGGGGACTTGGACTACGTGACCAAGGGTCTCCTTCACCTCAAATGATTCTATGACCTTAAGGAACATCCCTCTTAAAGAAACCTGTGTACAGCTAAAACGTATCAGGAAAGACTTACTAGCTCTAATGCAATATAGTCAACCTTAGTAGAAAGTCTTGAGAAAACTTTAACTTCTTCATTTCAGGTAATATACAGATTTTCATTAAAATTTAAGTTTACAGAGTCAAGATTTGAACTACGGAGGAAAAAAAACCTCAGTAAATTCTTTATTAATCGCGAGTTAATCTGAATTACTGATTAATCATATGTCACAGTCAGCTTAGTTACATTTGAAATCAGATCAGTTTTATATATTTAAAAATAAATAAAGAGAGTACCTATGTATTTTATCTAATAGGATACATTACTAAGTCATCAGTGAAATAACATTTACATCAGACAGGCTTTAGAGATTTCAATATGGAGGAGAAGCAAAAAATTAAATAACTGTGTGAAAAATTGGAATGACGTATTTCCATATGACTACAATGTCAAGACATTTACTGTGATGACTTAGACCCAATCCTTTGTCTAGGGCAGCCTTCAGATCAAGTAAAAAGCCACAATCTGAAGAAAACTGTTTTTCCTACTTCTGGGGGCCTGAAGTAGAATTCAAAAGCAAAAGAAAAGAAATATTATGGAAAATACTGCTCATTAATTCTGTTAATTCCAGACAGAGATCATTTGAAGGGATAGGTCCTAAATTCTCGAGGGTAGCCAGTCTCCACTGCCTTGCAGAATTAAGAGGTTTAGAATCAAAATACAGATCATCCCTTGCTGCTTGTTAATGATCAGTTCAGATCTTCAATTGATATTGGTTCAGAAAGGTAAGCATCATGGATACACAGCTTACCTTTGGAATTATCGATATACATGAAATTACTAAGTAGGCTTTTACTACACCACAAATAGGATTTGGTGCAATGTATGGCTTATAATTCCCTATACGTTTTGATTTATTGATTAACCTCTAGAAGATACAACTCTAGAGTTATGCAGCTACTATAAAGGAAAAGCCAGAGAAAATTAAAACATAATGAAGAAGGGTTACTAAATGAAACAAGACTCCAGTCAGCAGTAGCTAGAGCCACTCTAGTTAATTATTTCCTTGTTAGTTGGTGGTCTCTGGTAAATGAAGGCCCAGCTTTAAAGGATTCATTTAGTCTTTGGCTTTTTTTCACTTCTGACAAAACTACCAAAAGATGCCTTTGTTACATACTTTCAATAAAAGAGGTAAAGGTCTCTGCTTGAGGTATGGCAATCAATCTTCACTTGCAAGCACAGATAGCCTTAATATCCATATAGGTAATGATGTAGCATAGATGTAGCATAGATGCTTTTGTAAACATTATCATTTTGAAATATTTCCCAGTCCTTTCAGTCAATACCTAATACGATAAAAAATAAAACTTCATTGCACTCTAGCAGATCCATTTGTGCAGGTTTCTAAACTGTTTTGCAAATGGTAATTTATCATTTATATAACAAACCTGTGAGGCAAAAAATGTACACACTTCAGGTCATTTAATCCAAAAATCTGTTCAATCTACTGCAAAGTTTCTCAAATGAAAAGGTTAATTTAAGTAGTAAACCAGAGAAGAAAAGCGAAAGAGCATCTCTAATTTTTCTGAAGCAACATACAAATGCGGAATATTAAAATCATTTAGCAGCAGCATGAACTCAGAATTACACCGATTAAGATGGCAGCACACAGCAGTATGATACAACTTGAATTTTGATAAACTTTCATTTTCATACAGTATTAGCAGTAGTCTTTCTACATAGACCACAGACTCACAGAATGGAAAGGGTTGGAAGGGACCTCTGGAGATCATCTTCTAGTCCAACATCCTGCTAATGCAGATTCCCTACGGTAGGTCTCACAGGAAAATATTCAGGCAGGTTTTGAACACTTCCAGAGAAGGAGACTCCACAGCCTCTTTGGACAGCCTTTTCTCTGTTACCCTCACAGTAAAGAAGTTATTAAATGTGTTCATGTGGAACTTCCTGCTTTCCAGTTTGTGTCCACTGCTGCTTTCCTGTCACTCTTGACACCTGCCCTTCAGATATTTATAAGAGTGCCTTACCAAAAGACTCTTCTTTATTTTAAAACATCTGCCTAGTTACCTAACTTGATACCCACTAGAAAATCATGAAGTTATTTTTAATTTGTCTTTCTCAGTCCGTTCATTATTTTATATACTCCTTCTTCCACTTAACAAGCTACAAGCTGAAGTTCTTATCTATTCAATTCTGCCCTGCATCACCAAGATGTACTTTTTCTTGTTCCCTTTGAGAACAATTGACCACAGCTGTATTCAACATCCAGGATCTGAAGGCACCATGGACTTGCCCTAGCACAGTGATGTTTTCTGCTTTTCTCTCTGGTCTGTTGCCAATCATTTCTCGTAATCTAGCTATCTTTCTGATTATGGCTGAGCATTAAGTCACTGTTCTCATAGAAAAAACTATGCTCAAAAATAGACAGAATAGTTATAAGTAGTTTAGAGCCTGACATTATGTATGCATAATTGGAATGATTTTCCTTAAATGCATTGCTTGACAGTATTCACAGACAGATCAGTATTGAATTGCATGTCATTATGTTATCCTTCCAGTCAGTATCTTGAAAACCTTTTGCAGCTCTTCTGTCAGTTTTGGTTTTCACTACTGCAAATAATGTAGCAATATCAGGCAGCTCCCTCACCTCACAACTCATGCCTTTCTCTTTATTACTTATAAATAGCACATGCTACAACACAGATCCCTGTAAAGCATTTTCCTTCACATACCTAAATTTTTAACAGTGATCTCTATTCTCTACTTAGTAAATTTTAACTATCTAAAAATAACTGATGAGTCAGAAGATAAGAGGGAAGGTTCACTGGTGGATTTTAAGACTCTTTGGTGCACGAGTGTTAAAAACTTTTTGGAAATACAAGTTCAATATCCAAAATCAGAACACCATCTTAACGCAGATTCCTGCAAGAAAAACTCAAGAAAAACTCTACTAGCAAGGTCTGAGCACCCAGCAGAAGCTGTGCTCACTCTTCCACATTACAGTATCATGTAAAATGCATGGGGAGTTAATGCTTCAGTTCCGTGGGTTGTCAGTATTTCTGGGTACCTGGTTCTCAGAAGAGAAGAAGAACTACATCTCCCAAAAGACTTCATTGTTCTGCTGTCATTTTCTGAGCAGTTTTACCTTTCCTTCTGAACAGAAGTCACGAGATTGCCCCTTTCTTTTACATCTCATCTCTGTGATATGTGTTCCCTCGCCATCTCGCCCTCGGCATTAGCGTAAGGCCTTTGGTTTTGGACACTCTCTTTCATTTATTTGATTGACCAGCTTTGATTCCAATCAAATTGTATTACACTGTTATCTTGCATTTCAGTATCATATTTAGTAAATTAGTTTTCTCTCTTAGCTCGTTGCAGCTATTTTGTTTTCAGGCCAATCTCCCTACGTTCTCTTATCCCCCTCTCCCTATCTTGGGGCATGGGTCCGTCCTCTCACCCCATTTACTCAGGGAATCAGGCTGAACAAATCACTTACAGATCTGTAGGAAGCAAAGTACAATTTTAACAGAAATTCTTCTGCAAAATCTCTGTATTTCTTTGTTTCTGAAAAGAGAAAGAGAGGCAAGCCATAGTTTCAGAGTAATTAAATATTCGACCATTCCTGTGAAAAGGTTTGGAAGAGAAAACTGTGATTGCACTCTTTTTGTCTCCACTGTTCAGATCATGTGTGTTAGACACACAATGACCTGCATACCAAATAAATGTTCTTTCTTTGTTAGTGACAAAGAAACATCACCTTGGCTTTTACTCAGCCTCACCAAATGAAGTCCAAGCCCCACAGATATCCAGAAAAGAGCAATTAAACTCTACAAGAGCCTGCAGCAGAAAAATCCAATACTAGCACATTCCTATTTAGGTAAAGTACCCTGTGACAGAGTATTGCACATCCAACAAGGATGTGTACTCAGCAAAGCTGAATTCACACAACATATACGCGAAACCATTGTGTATAAACAACAAGCATATCATCAATCTTGACTGTTATCACTTGCAACTTAGGGTATGCTTAGATGCACAGCTTAACACTCTTTTCAAGGCCACAGAATTGCCTCAATACAGCCAACGTTACCTGCCTAAAAAAAGTCTCTAATTTGCTTACAACAGGGCTTCAGAGATCTTCAGATCCGTGTTCATGGACAAAGCATTGACATTTGGTGTAACACTGGGTGGACTGAAAGAGCAAGCAGGTTTAAAGCCTGGTCCAGTAGTACTTCTGTAACATGCTGTTCTCAGGTGAAAACCACACTCAGGAATTAATTTACAAGAAGAAACCATTCCATGAAGCTATCCTATCCAAACTAGCAACAAATTAAATACATTATCTTCACAAAGTTTTATGGAAGCCTGTTATCCTTTTCAGCACGCATGTTTAATTTACAACTACTGACCAACATCTTCTCCTAATCCACAATTCAAGTTAAATGCAACAAAGCAAAGATTATCAACTTGCAAAACCTTTGTTCCAGGCACATGTAAGATCCTCAACTAACATCATCTTGACATTTATTCTTATTAAAATTTCACATACAAAGTTGCTGCTGAAATTGACCATGGGATTAGGATCATGCTGCCTTCAAACTTCTTTAAGCATCTGCTGGAGGGCACAGCATGATTCTCAATGTTTTTTATATTCCTAATATTTATATTTTATATTCCCAATAATCTTTCAGAATGTAATAGAAACAATCTAATGAATGTTAGAATGAACAGGGAGAAGGATGACATTTCTGCAACCTTATTTTTTTGAAAAATCTTCAGAAATCCAGAATATTTATTGAGATTTTTATTTTATTTTTTTTTACTTCTGGGTAGAGACAGCTTTGACTGATTGACTCAATACGTCAATTAGTAGAGAACTGGTTTCACACACAAGAAAAAGTCTCATGTCATGTGGATTAGCTTAATGGACAGAAAGCCACATGGGGTGTACATTTTTAATCTACTTCAAAAGGGAAAGTGATTGATGAAATGCTGTATAATATGTCCATACAGTTATGCCCTACGCTGACAAAATTAAGGTGTCAGTAGTTAGATGAGAACAGCTTGTGGATGAAGAACAACACATTGATGCTGAATCAAGAAAAGACTAAAACGAGCAGAGAAAAGCACTTGCTGAAGTTTCAATCCCCAGCGTTGTCATCTTCGGTGCGAATAATAACTCTTATATTGTCAGTCAGCAGATTTCCATGTCACACTGCTTTTCCCTTGACTTCTCATCAAGCAAATCATCAGGCTTATGGTGCTTTTATTTAGGCTCAGTTTTTAAAAATAGGTTCCAAAACCTTCAGGAGGAGAATCGCTGCTGACAACTTTTGCCTAAACTACAGAATAACTTTTGTGATTCAGGTAAGAGATTATCTGTGCAACATATTGAGCCTCTTGTGAGCTAGTTAGAATATTGAAAGGACTCCCACAGAAATCAGCTGGCTGCTGTCATGAACCTCATCACTGTTCGAAGTGCACTGAATTACCACAGGTCATTTTGGGCAAAAATAAACACACTTAACAGAGAAAAAGAAGAAAAATATAAGTGATACGGTTGGCACAGAATTCTTCCAGTTAATTATGTCTGAACTGTTACCCAAATTTTAAAATATGCATTTATGAAATTTACTATACTGACTTTTAAATAGCTTTCTGTTTCATGTACAGTGGGAAACAAACACTTGGACTTATGTTGATTTACAAAACCATTTTTTGTGTTCCACTCCAGCCCATAGAGATTATTCGCTTAGGCCTCCATCATGACATTTGAGTACAGAGTTTTGTGCAAACTTGCTGAGTCACACTTGCTCAGAGTTTGTCTCTGCATCTGGTAAAAAATACACACAATTGCATACAAGACTACTGCTCACTAATGGTTCTCCTTTGAACACTTTACATCATTTTCCCTTGACTTTCCCATACTTGGCAATATATAATGCAATCAGTCACCACAGAAATGAATGTTCTCAGAAACTTCCTTGAGTTTCAAAAATCAATTACTCAATCTTTGTTCAAGACACAAATGAAAAGACAAATCAAACATGAAGTAAAACCTAGAATAGGCACTTTTTTTTTCACGTGTTGAGAAAGAACCTGAAATGCTACTCTTAAACTCTTCTTAATTTACAGAATTTTAATTGCAGCTAAATAAAATCAGATCTGAACTGAAAACTTACTGGTTTTGCTTGCTTAAAACAACTTCACTTTTTATTAAATTCACCGCATCTCATTTCTGATCAGAAAGTTTAAGGAACTGCCACAGAATGAAAAAATACATCCTCTCAATAAGGTGATGGCTTCCCCCCTGCCTCGTTCATAAAACACTGCTTGTAACCAGCTGTATCTAAATGAGCAATCTAGGCTTCAGAGATCAGGCTAAAAAACACATTTCTCTCCGGTAAGAGAGTCTCCTATTAGCTGCTGTCACACTTTAATATTGATCTGGAACCTTGAACATGTCTTGCTTCAACTTTTTTAAAGGCACTAAGTTCCACTGGGTGTTGGCATTTATATTCATAGATTCCAGTCATGCTCAGCTAGCAGCAATTAGAAGACATCCCTCGAGTAACAGCATTTCTAAAAATATTCTGTATGCATCACAGAAGATGAAGTACCCCTTTCCTCTAAAGTAATGTAAGCTGTACATTCAAGTATAATTAGCACACTAGACTTCGTAAATAGTATTAAACTAATTACAGTTTGCACCACTAGTGGCAGATGTGGTTAGAGATTATTAATTACAGTGGACAATTCTGAATTTAACATACCAAATGGAAAGCATTTTTTCCACTTTATTTTGTGTCTGAATGGCTATTTGCTGAGCGACTGGAGGACTTTTAAGCCAGGAGGAGCTGCTATTTACAAAAATGAACAAAGCAATAGGTTTTATTTTCTCAAATGAAGAAAAAAAGTTGTTCATTGACAAGGACATAGTTATTTTTTAAAGAATAAATTTCAATACAGACTTACTGTGAATCAGGAAACCTATTCTACTTAAGTGCTACATCACTGGACAGGCAGGCTGTTTTATCTACATCTAAATGAGCTTATTGGAGCTGTTCAGATGGACTTTATAGCAACATCTAAAACTTTCAACACGTGTGATGAAGTAAACTGCTCCTCAAAAATCTAGATCTGTAAATAAAACTCACCTATCTCTAGGCCAAGGGTTACTTAAAATAGAGCAGGACAGTCATTCCCTAGCTTCAGTATAATTTTCTGCTGAATGTTATCATGGGAGTAGGAGAGATAAGTTGTAAAAAGGAGCTGTCTCTCCTTGATTTTTTCTAGGTATAAAGTAAATAAATACAAGTAATAAAGTTTAAATAGCAACTAATAGAATACACTCAGAAAAGGTGTTGCAGTTTTAGTAAATGCTGACAGACTTCCATTAAAAAAACAGCACATTTTTCCATCACTACAAGTCACACTGATAACCCGTATAACACACAGAAGTTAAACAATTATTTTTAAAAATTGGGGTGGTTCCAGAATGATGTTATAATGCAGCAAATTTCAGGCTGACAGACATGTAGGAAAATATCAGTAGGCATTCATACCTCATCTAAGGCTGGATGTTGTGTTGAGGGACATGGTTTAGTGGGAGCTATTGGGAATAGGTGAACGATTGGACTGGATGATCTTTTAGATCTTTTCCAACCTTGGTAATTCTATGATTCTATGATCTACATTTAACTTCCTTTTATAGAACACTCTTTGCCATATTAAAGTTAATTAAACTGCTCCATTCTGTATTATTTGCTCACTACTAATTGGTTAGATTTTTGTGGATAAGATGCACTGATTCAAATAATACTCTTCATAGGTTGTGAGAACTAATGAAAATAAACACTATGTTATTTGAATTTAAATTTTTTTCTATTTTAATGTTTTAACTTAATTATGCTTTACTAGCTAAGCATCCAATTAACATGCACACCAAACAGGATGCAACACCTAAAAATATTTCATTTCATTTCTATGGTCAACCTTTCTTCTCTAGCACAATCCCTAGGATCGCTCATTCTTAATAGCACAACTTGCTAAAACAAAGCTGCCAGTCAAGCTGACTTAAGTGCTATATTCAGTGTGCCTTTAACCTGATTTCAGTACAGACACACAAATTTCAATTTAAATTAAATGCCCATTCCAATTATACTCTCAGTGAGAATTCACAAACAAATGGGACAAGTTACAAGGATTTGTCAGTCACTAAATCAAGCCCTTTAATTTCCCTTTTTGCTGACAATTATTTTCCAACACAATTCTGGTTTTAACCTGCCTATCTGAAAGCTCAAAGTAATCAATCAAACAAAAAATTTTGAACAAAACATATCCTTAGTGTCAGGCAAGGCTTAAAGCACACGGATTTTATTATTCCAATACAATTTGCAAACAGTTAAGCTTAAAGATATTTAAAAAAAAAAGCACACATGACAACGATAACTCATGTAATTGCTACAAACTGTTACTCTTATTAATTTCAGCAAGAATAGAATTCATGAAGTGGAATAGTCAACCCTCCAGCTGGTCTTTCCAAGCTATCTTGAGAGTTCAACAGCAAACTAAGTGGGAAAAATTTACACTGATGTGTAACAAAATCCTTGCTTATGGAATCAGGTACAATATTTATTTGAAAATAATTTTAAGAAGTGCTATTTCTAAATCTTAAGCAAATATCCTCCTTATTCTCTGTAATTTCTACATACAGTAAACCAAGTCTGAATGTCTTAGATTTTGAGAAAATAAATCTTTTTATATTTTTTTTTTCTGTCAAGTAGAACCACAATACAATTTAAGCGGTAATTCGAACAGCTTCTAAATCCTCAAAATATTTCATTTATCAATGGGATTCGGCCAATTACCCTGCAACTATTTAATCTGTTGCCAGACTTACAGTCGAGTGATGGATCGTCAACAAGGCAGGATGCAATGTTACTGCTTCAAACGTTGATAAAGTACTCTTAATCAGTTCTTCTGATGCAGCTGGACCTATTAGTAAAAACATTACAATTATTTAAAAAACGCAACCTCTATGCAATGCCTACATGTAAAAGTGCAAGAAATACCATGGGTTAACTTACCTATTGCTCCATCCAAATTTGTTTCTCCTGACTCTATCGATCTAATAAAATTCTACAGGAAAAAAGCATTTATTTCAAAACATGGCAGAAACAAAAATTAAGAGGCATAATCACTGAACAATTGCAAAATGAAATTTGAAGGATTGAGCAAATACAAAATACTGATGCACCTGCAGTTCTGATAATAATTTAGATATGAAAGACAACATGTTCATAATCTGGCAATTATAAAATAGTTTTGCAAGTCTTTAATGCTGCTGGACAGTTAAACATAGAGTACAGTAAGGGTCATTACTTTGACTTATGTAAGGAATGACAGCATTTCTAGCTAAATAGGCAGTAATTAAATGTCTTACTTTATTGTTAACAGAAAACTGTACTTTCTAAAAAGCCTTTGAACTACCTTAGATATGGCTATGCTAAAATAACTCACTAAAAAGACCAAAGATTCTCCTAGAAAATGCAATTTTCTGTTATTTGGACATCTTTTTGATCTCTATGGCTGCTATGCCATACTTATGGCATATGCTACTTATAAGATAGACTTGCACGCATACAAAACATACAAAAAGGCACAGCCTTCTACGAAGTATCATCTAAATAACTCATCATTGAGGAACAGGAACAATGAAGTATGAATAATCTTAGATAAGTATATATTGTACAAGTACACCTGCTATTCTTTTGCCTTTTAATCTTGATTTCATTCTCTATCTTCTACTTTTATGCATAGCTATCTATTTAACAGGAGATACAAAAGACACATTAATGACACTTGCTAGAGAAAGAAAAATATCAGCGGAATTTATCATGTTTTTAATTACTTACACAGTATTTAATATAGAGTGAATGCATTATGTGGATATATGACAATACAATGGATAACACCTTTCCAATTTTCAATGTGCAAACATATCTCTGTATGGTTACGTGATGTAAAACATCAAGAAAATGTTCATTCTGAACCACTTATTTCATACTGCACAATCAATTAAAACTTTGTTGTTACATATTAGAACAGCAGAAATGCCTATATGGGTTACTTTTCCTCTGTGTGTAACAGACATCTAAAGGATTCGTCTCTGATTAGAAATTCTGATAGAAGTTAACTGTATATTTCATAATATAAAAGTACCTCAGAAGTCATATAAACAATCGCTTCTATAAAACAGCAGGCGTTTTATCTTCCTAATCATTTGAAAAAAAGGTATCAGTTACGATCTAATTAATTTGTTTTGGAAGAGAGCAAATTACATTGTTTGTTCATTTAAGGCCACTTCACTTACAAGCATAATATTAAGACCAATCTAAAAAAAATCAACACATTTGGTGCAAAAATTGTTTTGGCTACTTTTGCTTATTTCCTTAATTCTCTATTACGAAATTAAGACCAAGAAGAAGGTGCATTTATGTATCATTTGTTGTTTTTTTGAGCAATGGAGGGGAACTGTGCGTGTTCTATGACAAGCAAGTCTCCCCAGTGCATTCCACTGGGAGCCTACTATTAGGTGAGCCTTTGGGGCAGAGCAAGTCTCTTCCGTGTCTTTCTATTTACAGCTGAAAACATGAAAAGACTGTCCCAATTCCTTCTCAATTTCTTTTCATGGGAGCACTGAGAATTACAGTGATGATAGAAATAACTTCAAAGCAGTAAGAAAAAAGATATTTCTCAATGAACAACAGTTACAGGAAAATCAATACTTTTTTTCCTTCCAAATACCAAGTACGCATCTTTCCACTCCTAATCGTTTCTCATTGTAATGAGTAAGATTGTGGAATAAATTAGCAAAATAAAAAACAAAACTTGAAGGACTAGCTTGCTCAAGACTTAGAGGCCTCACATAAAACACAGTACTTTTAAAAATTACATGCTGAAGATCGAATGTCCTTTTATGGATGTCAGTGGGAATGTTGGTAAGCAAAATTCCAGAGCAGACTGCTCCCTGGTAGAATGGATAGTTACTCTTTCAGAATTAATTACACAATTATATAAAATAGACTGCTCTCACATACGTTTTCCAGTTGTATTACTTCCCCACCATTTTTATGCATAAATTGAAATAGCATATTTAAGCTCCTGAATTGCCTACTTTGATGGAGACAAGACACAGGAAACAGTCCATCAAGTAATTTTCTTCTCCTTGATCTGAGAGGAGAGCTGTATGAACATGATCAGCCTAATTTCCTTAGTCAGTTGTTCAAGCAATTTGAAGAAATGTCAAAAGAAAACTTATGTTGTGCTTGGTCTACTGTACCTGTACTGTTGACAAATTTCACCTTCTAAAAGGTTGATCCAAAATCATTAATAAATCTACTTGCTATTTACAAGCGCTTCATAGTGACAAAAGATTTTCTAATTCAGTTTCTACATTTTTTTATTTTATTCCAATGAGAATTTTTATAGAAAAAGTTTCTCACTGATCATGAGTCCTAATGTAAACCCATATTTTCTTGGAAACAAAGTCAAAAGAGAAAGAGAAGTGAACATGAATAGTAAAATTTTACTTAGCTGTTTATGGTGAAGCATTTCTTCTGCGTGCAATTGTGGAAGTCAATGTATAGCTGTCCTTTAAGAACGTGTGCACTTAAAAGCATTTTATTTTTATTTTTTAAACTCTGACATGCAACTTTAGAAATTGGCTTCTTCCTCATTCAGCAGAAATAACTGCTTTATACACAGAAATTACATTACAATTGTACTACTTCATTTTAACTGTATTACCTTATGGGACAGTTAAAAGTTCATTTTCCATCACTAATGTCATAAATAATTTATAGATTTACAAGACTAATTTCTCTGTAGCTTGTAATACTCAGCTTTTTATCAACTAAATACAGAGAAAAAGTACAGGCAACCTTAATTTATGTCTCATTTCTAGTCCTGGTTTCAGCAAAATTTCTAGAAATAATATTGTGTGCAATTCAGAGGTAAATCTACTGTAAAATAAAGCACACAGAAAATTTTCAATATATCAGAGATACAGAGCCAGATACATATTTTCCCTTCAATTCACTAGATTACTAAAGAAGACATTTTCTATATGTTTATATAATATATATATCAAATATATATATTCGATAATATATATAGCTTTCAATAAAAGAGAACAAAAGAGATTTGAACAGAACAGTTCATTTAGAAGGGACCTATAAAGATCACTGAGTCCAACTGCTCGACCACTTGAGGGCTAACCAAAATCTAGAGGCATGTTAAGGAGGGCAATTCTCCAGAAGTCTCACGAGCACCAACAGACATGGTGCACCAGCCACCCCTGCAGGGAGCCTGCTCCAGTGCTCTCACAGGACAGAAATGTTTATAATATCCAGTTTGAGCCTCCCCTGGTGCAGCTCTGTGCCATTGTGGCACACGCTGCTACTGGTTCTCAAGAGCAGAGCCAGCACATCCCTCTGCATCCTCCTCATGGAGCTGCAGAGAGCACTGAGGTTGCCTCTCTCTGCAACCCAAGTGCCATCAGCCCCTCCTCAGAGGATACACCTTCCAGTTCTGCCACAGAATCATAGAACTCATCAGCTTTGTCGCATTCCTGTGGATTTATTCAAGTACTTTAACATATTTCTTATATTGTGGAGCTCAGAACACAAGACGCAAGATGAGACTGCATCAATGCTAAATACAGTGGGAGTATCACCTGTTTTTGCCAGCTGGCTGTGCTGTGTTTAATGCACCACAAAATGTGGATTGCCTTCTTGGCTGCCAGGGCACACTGCCTGCTCATGTTGAACCTGCTGTCGCCAGCATCCCAGGTCCCTTTCTACTAAGAATCTTGTTCTCCAACCTATATCTGTGTCTGGCATTGCTCTGTCCCAGATGGAGAGCCCAGAACTTAACTTCATTGAATGTCACGCCACTGAAAACTGCTCAAAATCAAAACTAAACAAATGTATTCAGAATAAAGATGTCTCTCCAATGTATAAATTTAAGGTAATTTCTGTGCATTAAAATCCCAAATTTTTATGCATCTGTATTTTTTGCAAACACCATTTAATTTGAATGTTTATACTCACAAGTAAGGTCCCATAGTTGAAAAGAAACTCCTCTGTGACAATGAGAGGACGAAATACCTATTTGAATTTAGCAAAAGTTTAAAAAGTTAAAGAGCATTTCACAGTCATGTTGGCAAAGAAGGCAATATATGCATTTGCTTTTATCATTAGAGTTATCCTACAATATAGAAAAACAAGGTTAGATTTTTAATACAGCTACTTAGCTGAAATACTCAACAACAAAATTACACGTTAAGTTCTATTTCATCCATGCTGATTTTAATCGACAGAAGTTAGATTCTCAGAAACCGAAGGAGTTTGGGAAAAAAAATCTACCTGGGATGTCACAAGATGAAGCACTACAGGCATCATGGGAAGGCACATCTTCAGCTGTTTGGCCTGAACTGTTGATGGGTGTTTGCGTCCAGAGACATTAGTTAAGGTATTGAGAATGTCACCTACAGAAAACAACATTTCAGATTGATCTAACGTAATTGATTTACTCAACACAAAATGACAAATGAAGTACTTCTGTTCCAGTATATCTCTGCAAGCCTATCTTCTCTCTCCTGATGAAATCTGTGTTCATGTGCGTGATGATAAAAATCAGGCTGATCCAACACTTTTATTTCCTATTTAGTATTCAAACAGGTCAATCTCCTGCTCCTGCTACAAGGATAGGCACATGAATGCTACCTCTGGCAAACTGCTGAAGCTAGAAATATGAGGCAGGAGTAGAAACAAAAGTGAAATTACTCCTCTCAGCAATGGGACTTGTACTGGCTTTCAGTGATTATATCAGCATGGAATTACACTGTTGAAATGCTATCAGTACAATTTAATTCCAGTGAAATCAAAGGCAAAATTCTCACATCTTCCAGCTGACCAAGAGCTTCACCTAAGTCAGTGATATAATGCATCTTTTTCCTGCAGCAATAGTACTACCAGAAGAAAGAAACAAGCAAGCTCCTCTGCTTCCTAAAAAGCCCTCAACTAGCTGTGAATTCGTACACAGGGTTTAAATAATGATGTAAGTTACCTGAAGCAACAGAACTTTTCATCTTCTGATAGAAAGAGTTAGCAGCAGGTCAGTGACAGAACTTGGTCCATAACAAAAGACAGACATAACAATAAGGAAACAAAATTCTAATTTGAATAGTGAAAACTGTACTTCACACTTCACAGAAGACACGTAAAATCATGCTTCCTTTGTGCTACATTATTGTTCTAGAAATCCAAGACTACTTCTGCATGGAGTAAAAAATAGGGGGGAAAAAGAGAAAAGTCATAGCTTATATGTAAAGAAAGAAAATCCAATCCATTTTGTCTGAAAATTCTATAAGTCAAACCCTGTCCCGAAAATGCACCTCCTATATGTCTTCCCTAACAAGAGAACTACACAGAACTGTAAACAGGGAATCACATACATATGAAACAAATAAAGGACATGATTCAGTATTTTAGACAATTCTCATGCCAGGCCAGGCCCTTCCTTTGAAAGTAAGTAGCAGTTTTCTCACATTGAAAAATAACAATGCTTTTCCTCTTCTTCCCTGGAGTCTAATTTTCAACACAAGCAACTAAATTTGGTTGTAACAACACTTAGCCCTGAAGATTTGAATCATTCTATAACATAACACTCATGAAAGCGTTGCCTAAACTCCAAATATGTAAAACGAAACGTTGTTTCACCAATGCATTTTTTAATGAATTGCAAAACTGGAATTAACAGACATCTCTGTGCTTACCAATAAATAGTCACTGAACACTTCACTCTGTATGTTTTAATGTCTGTGTATTCACCAGATTCATCAGTTTCGATAAATAGACATAGCTATTTTAATTCTTAGTTTGACATAAGCAAATTACATTTATCTTCTAGAAATAGGTTAAATACCATAAATACCAAAATAAATTTACTCCCATACCTACAACAACTGAAAACTTAGAAAAAAATAAAAATTAAAAAAAAAAATAAATTAATCATCAGATTATCATTTTATTTCATTTATTTCAATGTATCTTTAATGGCAGTTTCTACAATTTGTCAATCTATTCGGTTTATAGCTACATCTGGTGGAAGAAGATGGTATCAGTAAGAAGCTTAAGTAAATGCATATTAAAAACTAGCTAGGATTAATTCTAAATCAACGGTTAAACTGCTTTTAACTGCTCCACTTTACAGATCTTGTCATTTTTCTTAGGAGATCATAATTTTTATCTCTTCAAGCAGAACAGGATCCTTCATTATACTCTCAAAAATAGAAAGCAAAAGCCTTTGACAGATATGGACAGATAACTTAATAAAAACAATCAAAACACAAATCTAGATTGAAAAGGCAATTTTAATGTAAAATTAAGCTTGAGATATCAATTTTCCAAACAATCAAACAATGCATTCATTTTCTACATCAGTAGAAAATTTTTTAGGAAAAAAAAAAAAAAAAGAAAGAAAAAAAAAGCAGCAGAAGCCCTGTTAAAGAAATAGATGCATTATTTTTTAATAATAACAGTAACTATATAATTGATTTATATCACTTTTCAGGTACTGAGACTTCCAACTCCTACAATGTACTCAACATTTGAACCTGGTATTTAGTTTGAATCAGCTGTTTGGAACAGGGCAAAAGTTGCATTGACATAGGAATTAGTTTCTTTTAAAATAGCAACATGACCTTTGCAGTTTCACCATTTCATTTTCAATATTCTGGCAATAACATAGATGATGAAAAATAGATCACCAATCATCACACAGAAAAATAAATTTATGCTTTTTTTTCCCCCCTACCATTTAAAGACAAGCCATAAACATTCAGGGTTGGTTTAGCTCCATTTCTCTTCTTGAAGACTTTCAGCATTCCTTCCTCATCTTGCTATTTATCTTTCTTATTCCGTTCTGTGGGAGATCTCACCCAACAGAAGTTTTTATAAGCATTTTAATACCTATGATTCAGACCAGCCACATCAATCTCATATTTTCTCCTTCTTTCTTTCCTTTTCCCTCTTTCCTTCTCTTTATCCTTTCCATAGAAATTTTCCTGACATTCCCTGAAGTTTAAGTTTTTAAAACATACTCGTAGATACGCTGTTACATCTCCCCTTGCTCTGTACTATATAAAGCAAGTCTGCTTTTAGGTTTCCAATCATTGGAATACCATTAGAACATCAATAAAACTTCTTGTACAATCGGGCCCCTTTCCTGACTGGGTTGAATCTCACAGTCCAGGCTACGATGCAAAATATCTGATCACGACAAAGCCAAGAAACTTCATGAAGTTGACAACATGCAAACTTTATCTAATCAGAAAACACAATCTTTCCATCTGTATATGTAAGGAGATACAGAAGTATTTCTCAAAAGTAAGTTAAAAAAAAAAAAAGTGAGTAAAGATAAGATTTGCTCAGTTAACCAACTCAACTCACCTAGAATTCCTGGCAGCTCTTGTACAATGTGATGGATGAGAAGATCCAGGCATTTTGACAGGTATTCATTGCCGCTTTGCTGCTCTTTTCCTGCTGTGGTCTTTCTGCTGTCTCTTTCAATATACATCACAAGCCTACATTTAAGCATGTGCAAAATGTTACATCTCATAATACAAAACCAATACTATATCTGTAAAATACTACTGCAGCATGCACTTCTAGTACTTGTGGTTACAATCCAAAGAAAACATTTGTGAATATTCATTTTGTTTAAATTTTGGGGTCTTCTCTTCAAATAAATCAAGTTTTAAGATAAAATGATTATGACAAGGAACAATAGGGAAAAAAAAGTACTGTAAATGCAGCTTTACTAATTTAAGTGAAGATACGATACTAATATAAGGAATGAATTAATTAGGGATAGAAATTCACTTTATTTTGAAACACATGACCAACACACTCACTATAAGCTGAGACCAAAGACAGTCTTCACCAACAGGTAAGAATTCCAAGAGCCAAACTAATCTTTCAGTCAAGAAAAATCATACAAAATTAATCATAAAATAAAATGCTAGCATTACTGAGAATGGCTATAAAGAAAGAGATAGAGAAGTCTAACTAGCATTATACCTTTCTCTGGAAATATGATTCCAGATTTCTAAAGACAAAACCCAGTGCTTACATTCTAACTGACAAATGCTGTAAAATTATTCTGTTCTGCAGAATGACACTTTTCACAGTAAACTATGGTAACCAATTTATTAGCCATTGGCTAACTTACAAGAGATTGCTTTAATAACACACCTATAACAGAATGCTTCAGGCAATATTATAAAATACTCATTTGAATAGACAGAAGGGCCAGATTTTCCTTTAGGGGCCTAATATTGACATCTCTGTTTCATACTCAAACTCCCAGGGGGTTTGGCACACAGAACCATCAGTCACTGGTGACTGAAAACCATGCTCTAGATTTTAAGAGTGTACTTTAGTATTACCATTTTTCTTACACACTCTTATTATAACCAATGCTCATCTTAATTAACCTGCTTCAGGTACATACAACAAAACTGAAGGATCATTAACACAATTTTTTATGCTAGCAAGTATGTATTTCTATCATAGAGATTATTTACTCAATTAAGTAAAAGTTACTCAAGAACAAATTTTGCAGGATCAAGTGTCTAAACAATGGATGATTGATTGCTAAGGAATGCTACAGCTCACCTGATCCTTCCTGAACTGCGTTACAAAGATGAAGATAGAGAGAAATCACAAGACCCATTCACTGACACTTTCAGCTCTGCTTTCCATGGACTATGGGGACGTCTTTGACATTTTAATACAACTTCCAGAGATTGCAAGATTACAATGATTTCTCACTTGTGTAGAATGTGAGAAATACTTAAAATCTGACAATGCTCTAAATAAATTTTTTTCTTTCAAATGCTTTACATTTATGTATATATTTATATGGAAGAACATTTTAAATTGCAACAGTATAAATCTAGCCTTCCCAAACAACTAAGCATTTTATACAGAATCTGTTTGTGTAAATACATGTGGTTTCTTTCTGTTGTCCTCCCTATCACAAAATTGTTCTTCAGAAGGATTTTTTAAAAATAAGCACAATTATTTTTCCTTGACAGTATTCTTCAAATAACTGCTGTCTGAGAAAACTGGACAAATTCATATATGGTCAGGGTAGCATTAGTATCTTCATTTTCCTTCAACAAATCCTTCAGTCATTTGCAGAAAATCAGTTATTTTTAATGCCTGAACAGTCTTAGTGTTCTGTCTAATGAGCAAAATCAGGCCTGTGAAAATGTTACAATTTTTAAATTTATTCAATCTACATATTTGTCATGCACTCAGCAGTACATGAAAAAGATATACAGGTGTTAATAAAATAAGTTATACATCATTAAGACTGATTGCTTATATGCATTATACTACATACTCCTCAAATTTCTCAAATATCTTTATAAAACGATTTGAGTATATAGAATCATAGAATGGTTTGGATTGGAAGGGACCTTTAAGGTCATCAGGTTCCAACCCCTGCTGTTAGGCAGGGACGCCTCCCTCTACACCAGGTCACCAGGTTGCTCAGAGCCCCATCCAGCCTGGCCCTGAATGCTTCCAGGGAGGGGGCATGCACAAACTCACTGGGCAACCTGTTCCAGTGTCTCACCACCCTCACAACAAAGAATGTCTTCCTGTTATCTACTCTAGATCTACCCTCTTCCTGTTTAAAGCTATTTCCCCTTGTCCTGTTGCTACATGCCCTTAAAAAAAGTTTCTCCCCAATAAAAAGTTCCTACCCAAAGTTCTTCCTACATAAAACATAACAAATAGTTATCCGAGTTCTTGCTGCTGTACTAGAAATTTTTAATTTATTAGTATTAATTGCTCTGACAGAACTGGAGATATTTATCTAAAATACAGTGTTGAATTACTATTAATAAAAATTAAAGAATATCCATTATCTCAGCTGGATTTAAGAAAAATTCTTTCAGAGTTCAGGATATTACAAAAGTAGGAGGCCCCACACAAAATAGCTCATTTCTCCTCTCTCATCCTACTGTAATCATCTCGTACTCCAAATATAAGATAAATTTTTAGTCTAGATCATTTGCCCTGCTAAGATACACTGTTTGCTGAAGAGAAATTGTAAAGCAATCACAACAAATTAAGAATAGCATCTTATGAGTTCAATAGAGCTGCTGTAAGTCTTACCTGTTGTTTTAACTACTGTGTTACATAATGTTTTGGTCCCTAATCTGCTCTGCCTGGAGCATCACAAAACAGCAGTACAAAATTCACAACACAAAATAACAGCCCAAACTCACAACACATTTTCTTCAGAAATGCTGCTCAGTGGAAAGCATCATTAAGAAAACAAACAAAATAAGAAGAAAAAAAAAAAAGAAAGAAAGAAAGAAAAGAAAGAGAGGGGATAAATAGTCAATGAATTGTATTTAAGTTCTTATCCTTCACGTAATATCTCAGGTATAGATAAACAAATAACAACTGTGAGTATGGGACAATGGTCAGACATTCCTCCAAACACATAGCTCAGTTGTATGTGCTAGAAGAAGCACATAAAGATGTGTAACGTGTTCAAAAACTTGCTTCAAAATCATCACACATTTTACACTGTCCAGAACACATCACTTGGTAATGCATTTTTAGAAGTACCAGAAGATGCACAACAGTGAATCTGGTAATCAACACTCCCCGCAATCTACCACAATTGACATGTCTACAGATACTTGTGTGAGTGGAGGAGCACAAAATGACAGCACTCCAAAAGATGTCCACTCACAATGATTTGTGGTATAACTCACCTGCTCCTTATCAATCCATCCCTTTGACTTCAAATACACATCTTAATTTTTCTCAAAAAGCAACATAAGATATAGAAAAATTGTATTTGCTGTAAACAGTTTATAGCTACCTGCAAGTCATAACCTCTTTACTTCCAGTTTCAAATCCACTTTATTCCAAACCCACAAAAACTGGCTGTATTTCACTGTTACAAATACTCAAGAAAATTTCTTCCATCTTACTTCTCCACCATCTCAAAACCATGGTGACAATTCATATTCTAGCAGTCTCATTTCCTCTCATCTATATGAAAGCACTGTAGTGCAAAAAGTTCCAATAACCATTCCACTGTGAATCAAACTTAACTGAAGTGCTTTCATTTCTTGCAAAGTATTTTAAGATATAGGAACAGATGAAATATTTCATGCAAAAGTCACAGGAATTCAGCGATTGTTCTACAAATGACTTCAACAACACAGTCACAAAACATTATTCTGCTTTTAATGTACCTATACTGAAGAGAATACAGGTTATATCAATCACATCATAAGATGAGGAAGGTACATGACAGACCTTTTTATTTTGCATTCCCATCACAGCAACAACTCACTAGTGCAGTACTTATCTGACCCACCCAAAACAAAATCTGTTCCTTGCTTATCCTAACAGGGACCACCAGTTACTTTTAAAGTCTCTCCTTGTAAGCCAGAGTGGCTTCCCCTTGTGAGTAATCATCATCTGGCAACAAAAGACAAAACAGAGAACTCTCCTCTGGATATCCTCAGAAACAGAAAGATCTGCACTGCGCAGAAGATAATTCATTCCTAAACACTGACTCTGAAATACAACATATTGAAAGTGACTTAGACACAACTTTAAAAATAAGCATTGCATCTCTAATCATAAATTCCATTATTACCTTACCTTGCTTGACAACTGAGAAGCAACATTTCCCTGCTATTTATTAAAACTTGCAGCAGGACCAGAAATGCTTTTGCTCGTATGAAAGTTGAAGGACTTTCAAGTAAACGAATAATTGTAGCCATAAACTCCTTGGTGGGAATAAACAAAAAACCATTACTGTTATCTTATGCAAAACAGTTACTTGCATTATACTTTATCAATGAATACATTTGAAATTCCATTTTTTCATTTCTATAACGTATTTACATTTTTTATTACCCTTTTCACTTCATTCTCATAGCAAATAAAATCCATACAACACAACTAAATACATTTTGTCCAAAATAGACGGGCCAAGTGAAAAGCTGCTCTGTTCAACTTCTCACAAGACATAGCAAGAAAACACTATCTGTTCTACCGTGTCCAGAATAGACTAGAAAGCATTAGAAAATATCCTGCCTTAAGGATGATACGATATTTTAACATCTTTAAGACGGATGATTTTTCAGAATATAGGTATACCTCAGCACCAATAAGACAAAAGGTTTACCTATCTATTTCCATACATGGAGGAAGATAAAACACTACCTTTGTTGGATACAATTATGGCTACATCAGCTCATAAATGATACCATGGAATGAAGCAGCCACCCAGTACATAACGGCATGTTGTATATAAAGTTTTATATCCTCCTACGACACACATTTAACATGCTAAGTGTTATTCAAACTCCCTGTTTTGACGACAGAATAACCAAAAGGCAACTTCATAAAACTGAAAATCAAGACCAAACATAATTTGTTAGAGGCAAGCTTTGCAACACTTAGCTAGAAGAACATTCGTGTAAAATCCAGCCAACAAGCCATCAGATTTTACTGATACTATTTAAACTTTGTCTTCAAAACATAGATTGCCATCAACACAGACAATCAGTAAAGATGCCTCAGAAGAACAAGCTATTAATTATTCTACTAATTCTTTCTTGTCTTTTTCTAATTTAGTTTATAAATAGACGCCATTCTTCAATCTTATGGTTGATGAAACTAAACTGCATAAAGATCATACTTTAAACTGCTCAATTGTTCATGGAGCAGAACTTGGAGCTCCTTCAGTGTGAGCCTAAGCAAGAAATTTTGTAAATGATACACAAATTAGACGCAAAGGTTGAAATTTTGGTAGTTTTTCCTTCCCTTCCCTTCCCTTCCCTTCCCTTCCCTTCCCTTCCCTTCCCTTCCCTTCCCTTCCCTTCCCTTCCCTTCCCTTCCCTTCCCTTCCCTTCCCTTCCCTTCCCTTTTTCCTCCCCTCCCCTCTCCTTTTTCTTTTCCTTTTTCTTTTCTTTTTCTTTTTCTTTTCAGAAATAACCCAGAACGACCACAAAAAAAAAAGAGCTGTAACAATAGTAAAGTCTCAAGCTTAGAATAACAGTATGTATAATGCTACACTGCCTGCTAACACAAATGGACCTGACAGACCAAGCACTGGGGCAACACGACATGGACAGATGCATCTACAAGCCAAAATACAGCTGTAGTTTTATTCCTCATGGTTTAGAAAGCATGAACATTCCATTGCAGGGATAGCAATTAAACATGCAAATAATTGCAATGTAAATTAAAATCAGTTATATCAAACCTATTATCTAATTTATGTGAGAATTCTCTAACGATCTGGCTTAAGATACGAAAGTGACATTTTATGATTTGTTTTTTTGCCTGGTCTGATGACTGCCAAACAGCAACATTTTATCCAAAGAAAATCTGCAGCACGACTTTGCTGACCTGCAGAACTCAATAAATCAGAAGAGGCAAAAATTGCTGAAACACATATATATTAATTATTAATTGTTGCACTGTTACATTGTTCCTCCCTTGCTCACAACTGTTTTGAGGTATCCATGGAGACTCTGCAGGGTAAGGACACTGCTTTCATTACAAGTGAGCCACCCTACCACAACAAGATCATGATTGTATATAGGATATTCCTAATGATACTGCAAAGCAAATTTAAAATAAATCATGAAAAGCAATTAAGTTTTTTAACTGGTTACACAAGGGGGAAACGGACCATTATTTCAAGAAACACTGAAGATGTTATAACAAGTATTTGCTGTTTTCTGGAGTATTTTCTGATTTGCTTTTTATGAACTGCAAATATCCCCATAACATTATAATGTAAGAGTTAGATGGAAAAAAAAAAGAAAAAAAAAAAAAACAGCAATAAAAATAATTCAAAGTTACAAATCCTTTTGCCATTTCATGTCCTGCAGTGCTGTACAAATCAACCAGGAAGAAGAGATACTCTGATCTTAAGAAATGACATTGCTGAATTGTGAGGGTATGATTTACACAAAAGGTAACTGGTACCACTAGAATGCACACTCAAGAACAACCATAGAAACAGAGATGGTAGTTGACTCATGTTTTTATGTCCAAATAGCAAACAAAACATGCTGGCTACACAGGTGGGTCCAACATGCAGGCTAGTGACTTTCTAGCAGGAGCAGGTTAGTCAGGCTTGTGCACACTTACCAAAACGTCAATGGTTTCCATTCATTCAGAGGTGATATTTGACAGCTAGATTAAAGTAGTTTTCTTTTTTATCTACTGCTATAGTTTTCAAAGACGTTTGATTCAGATTCTTTCTCCACATTTTATTTTAAAATATCATTTCATGCTTTTGTTTTCTTGTTGTTTTTTCTTCAAAACATGAAGCTATAGTAGAATATCTCTGTATCAAGAGCGATTTAAAAAATCCTTTAAGCCACTGTAGTTCTCCTAAGATTTATGTTGGCACAGATGACTACAGAACAGCATTTTTCCTTTCTATTCTTCTAGTTGTTATTTTGTAAATGATTTCATTCCTGTTCTCAAAGGGAGTTAAAAACAAAAGCAGGCTTAAGGCTTGCAAGCTAAGGGGGTTTCCAGATAAAAAACACAAAGGTAAATGACTTCCATTTTGAATTTGCATATTTAAGTATCATTTAATATGTTGGTTTGCAGTTCTATTAAAAATTACCTTCTGTAAACACTGAGGTCTTACCACTTCTTAAGGTACACAAGAATTCTACAAAAGACAAAATACTTGGGAGATTTACACTGGTCATTTTCTTTTCCTCTTTTTTCATTAGGATGGACTTGTGTGTCGCGCACAAAGAATACTGAAAAGTGTCATCACAGTGTAGCCATATGCTTGTTGAACATTCAGGGAAAGAATTCAATGTGTAAGTGAATCTTCAAACATACTTCTCTCAGTAGATCACCAACGTGCAATAAGGCATTTGAAACTGTCCTGTAATGTCACAATTTGCCATCTGTTAATGCTCTTGTAAGTGGAATCTGTGGAAAGCTTAAGGCCAGCTGACAGGCATTTACACAGAGCACAGTGACAACTCTAACATGAAACTAAATGACTTTCATGAAGAGAATGAGTAATTTCAGGCTGCAAGAAGAGATGAGTGGAAGACTGTATATTATTTTTTTGCACTTAAATGTTGTCGTTAAAACAATATATACAGAAAGTAAATGAATGCATTTCAAGTAAAGCCAGATGCATTTTTTAGTCAAGATGAGAATCAGGTTACAGCACACATCACTGCTGATGAAAACATGAGCTCCTCTTCTAATTTTTTCTCTGTAAGTAGAGATGCATTGATTTTGTTTGTTAACTGTACAGGTGTACTGACAAAAATAAACATGGAATATTTTGGTGATCAAATTAGTAAGCTTTTGATCATCTTGGGAGAAGAATGCAGTAAAAGCAGCTCTACGGAGGAGTCAGAGGTGTTGGTGGATGAAATGCTTAACGTGAACTAGCTATGTTGCTTATGGTCCAGAAAGACAAAAGTATCCTGGGCTGCTTCAAAAGCAGCAGGGTGAGGGAGGGGATTGTCCCTCTGTTCTGTAAGGCCCCATCTGCAGCACTGCATTCAGCTCCGGGCCCCCAGCACAAGCACACGGAGCTGCTGAAGCATGTCCAGAGAAGGCCACAAGGATCCTCAGAGGGCTGGAGCACCTCTCCCATGGAGACAGGCTGAGAGAGCTGATGCAGTTGAGTCTGAAAAAGGCTCCAGAAAGATCTGATAGCAGCCTTTTAGTACCTAAAGGGGCCTCCAGTAAAGCTGAAGACAAACTTTGTCAGGGAGTGTAGTGACAGGACAGGGGAGAGTGGCTTTAAACTGAACAGGACAGGTTTACGTTGGGTATAAAGAAGAAATTATTCTTTATGAGAGAAGGGTGGTGAGGCTAGTAGCTTCCAGTAACTTTCTAGTAGCTTTATTCAGCACCACTAGGAAGAAAACTAAGTTCTTAGAATACTGATTTCTGCAAGACATTTTGCTTATGAATTGGTCAAAGTGCTTCAAAGAGAGAGTAAAATAGAGCTTTAGATTCACTCAGGACATATTTTTCTTTAGGACCATTAAAAGCCCTATGTTATGGTCATGCTAGAGCTTTCTAGCTGCAGGAATACACGCACCCATAAGTATCAGCTCTTAAGGATCTGAGAATAAGAAACATTATACTCTTCATTATTCATATTTTCAACAAACAAAAATATAAAAATAACACATTATCTATATTACATGAACAGGTAGTAATTTTCTGTAAGTAGTAATTTTTGAAGAACATCATTGAACTCTTTTTTTCCCCTTCCATTAAAATGTTAAATTCACAGTTCTCAGTTTTGAGAAAATTGAGAGATCTGTTCCTAATTTTCTGCTATTCGGGTACTTAGCTGTTACTGAGCTAAACGTTTTGAAAACACAAAAGCACTGCTAGAAGAAACTTTTAACTTTTCATTCATGAATTTCCATGCCTCTGAATACTATTAATCTGAAATCTAACCTTTTCTTGTATCAGCCTCTGGAGATGAATTCCACATGACAACATTGCAGAAAACATGGTGAGCAGGTACTGCTGTATTTTGCATATTCCAGTTAGCAAGGAATTTAGTACAGCTGTTAATCCCACCTTCTCAATGACACTCTGGAAAGCACTGGGTGAATAACGGGTAATTCTACATAAAGCCTACAAAAGCAAAACAGAAATATTGTTATTTAATAGAATTTAACAGAGTTTTTAATTAAGAATTTATACCATTTCATCATAAGATAAACATAAGGAGAAGGACTACTGTTTTTTGTTTGCTTGTTTAAGAGACCTGCAACTCTTCTAAACCTCTACATCCCACACAGCTGCAACTGAAATCCTTGGTACAACAACATTAATATCAAGTAGGGTCATGTCACTCTCTTCCTCCAGATGATAATGATGCAGCAGCATAGTCCATGCTTGGAAATTCTATTGATACAGAATGTAGGCAATATTAGATAATACTGCACAAAAAAGGAGCACAAGTAACAGAAAATACAGAGATGTCACCCACCACAGAAATTCTGGTCACTCATAACAGATCTTTATTCTACCTCTGTTTCTGGACACTATCTATAATCTGATACAGAGTATATTATCTGAACATTATTCAAAAGCCTCAGCTTATCTACTTTAGATCTACATATTTGTTATGGAACACTATTTAGTACAGCAAACACAGAAACTCTTCTGCCAAATGGTAGATTTGGGACTGTTCTGTGCATACTGACTTAGCTGCTCCTTAACAAAAATTCTCTAATGACCTCCAAAGTGGATCAGCTTTCGACTCAAAGTATCTTTTAGCTTTCAGTGCTTCAGGAAGTGCAACCTTCATGATACTGTGACTGCTTTTGCTGTATTTAGATGAGGAAAATACAACTTCTCAGACACTTTGTCGTCTTTGGCTTGAATGCAGCATTAGGATAAGAAAACAGATTAATTATTTGATTCGTGTGAAAACCTGAATTGGTTTCAGGCAACTTTCTTCTGTGAGCAGTAGTCAATATCATCATTTCTTTGCTCTCTCCTAGCCAGCTATATTTAGAAACTGCTGCTTACACAGCACCCATTCAGTAGCATGTTTTCATTTAAGAGGAGGAAAAAGAAAAAAGGAAGGAACAAAAGAGACAAACCTAAAACGTACTTCATTGATGCCATTCACCTACTCAATACCCACTCCTCCTCGTCCTTTTTGGTCCTGCAATAATATTGATTGCAGCTTTTTCCTTCCCCCTCCTCCCTCCTTTTTTTTTTTTTTTTTTTCCTTAAGATAGGCATTCAGTCTTTGTTTTTAAGTACATCAGTGTCTATTTCCCCAAGAATACAATTCAACCATTCATGTCTAGCCAGAGTTCTCAAAATTAGCAGGCTCAAGGTATTCACTAAATCTATCCTCGAGGTTCATATTACTATAAATTGTTGAGGCCCAGAGACAAACTGTCAAAGCAAAAGGGGCAAAGTTGTTACACTAATATGGTGCTCCCAGAGTTGCCAGTGCCTCAGCTCCCTGCTTCAGACTTGGTCAAAAAAGAGGTAACCACAGCCATAAGACGATTAGAAACCTCCAGGTAAATCCTGCGGAGACATGGCTGTCTAGTAAGACTGTATTGCAGCTTCAGAGATAGGAGGAAAGCTCCATCCCACTAACAGCAAAGGGTAGAGACTTTAAACTGCTGTTGTCATCGTGTGCTCTGTTAAATGACTGAAATGACCACTTCAGCAGAAAATCAGACTGAGCTTTAGGGGGGAGAGGAAATAGAAGACATATTCACATAAACCACTTAAGCAGATCTTAAGGAGGTAGTTGGGCAAAAATCTGGAAATGATAATAGGTAAGAGTAGAGGAGACCTTACATTATCCTCTGTCAGAAGCAGCTTTGAACAAGAAATGATTGCAGTGAGAGAAAGGCATTGGTAGAGCCTCTCCTGGAATGAACTTTGCCATCTTTGGTCTCCATCCAGTCTTCGTACTGCACTTTTTCTCCCAGCAGCCCCAACCTTAACAGTATTTGTGCCTTATCCATTGCTTCCCAGTCTTATGTGCTATATAGTATCTAGGTAATGTTCATCCTTTCAGGATGCACTCTATGTATCTCAAATTTGAGAATGAATGCTTTAATGCATCTGTGGTAACTAAGTCTCAGAAAGAAACTATTCAGCACCAATTATTTAAGAAAAGAAAGAAAACAATTTTGTTGAGCTCTCCCATATTTTTTTTTTCCCCATGGAAGTGGCTTATGTTTCAAGTAGTTACTTCTCCAGCAGAAGCTATTTCTTAACATTAGTAATTATTTTTTAAAAAATGAGGATATAACTTTCAATATACTAGAAAAAAATGCCTGCTGCTAAGCTTGTTAGAATGCCATTTTGGCATCTTACTGAATTATTTCTATTCTGAGTTTAACAGAACAATAAATGATATCACTTTTGTATTATGTTTACCTAAGGCAGGCTGGACTACCTCATAACGAGAAAAAACACTGAAACACAATCCCCATTTGCCACCTCTGACAGGTAGGACAGCACAAAGTGTCATTTCTTGACTCTAGTGGCTGAGGACTGAAAGTCTTCCTGATATATTTTTGTTGCTGATTGAAATAATTGTAAGTAAAATCCCATAGTGCCTTACAGCTGATAGACGTTGCAGCCGACGTGCTAGCTGCAGGTAAAGATATAGCACACATGTTTCTTCACATAAATGCTTTTTATAGTGAATATACACGTCAATCAGGAATACATTCTTCAGGATAGATTTAAACAAGGCAGGAATGGCAACATGATAAAACATAATAGGACACATTATCATATGCAGAATAAATAAGGCCTGCATACCTGTGGCAACAATACGCTACAATGATATTTTACGAATGTAGAAAATAAATAGTATGATGCAACCTCAGAATACGTTAGTATGTTACTTAAATCTCTATAAAATTCAACTGGGGAAAGAGCTACCTGTATTAGATTTCAATATCAGTTGGTTATCTGAGCATTTTCCAAAGTTCAGATCATATGCTCAAACACCCCAGCTGTATTAATACATAGCCATGATTTATACTGGGTCTTGAATAATAATCGCAATAAATAAAAGTCCAACCTCTTGTTCCTTGGGTACTTAACTGCAAAGCAGCAAAAGGATTAGAGGAACATCTTAGTATATTTTACTTCAGAAAGCTGCAGTTCAGTTCATTTCTTATGTAACTGGATGGGAACTTCTGAATCACAGCCTGAACTTCTGATTGACCACCTGAGGCGAGCACTGAGTCAGCCATAGGAGCACAGGTGAAGGCAATTCAGCTGTGTGATGGAAGGGGTGGAGCCTGGCTGCACCTCTCCTTGGTCCATTCAAGAGCTGACTGCCAGTGGGAAGGATGTCTTCTGGAGATCCCTCCTCTTGAAGTCTTCTTAGCAAGGCCAGGACAAGGGTAAGCTTTCTATCTATTCTTTGGTGTGAGAACCTGTTGAGCCTAACTTCCTGTATATTTCTTAATTATAACATCTGTACATTCATTGATTATACATGCAACATACAATAATTACATCTTAAACATTCAGTAAAGGGTGTACAATTCCCCAAAAAAGTAGAGGGGAAAATCCAGTAACAACTTCAGACAAAAAGTATCCTTACATGAAATGACATGTATGGAATGAGAAGATGGAATTTACTACATATAGCAACAACTGCCTTTAGAACAAACTGGAAAAAAGCACAAGAAATAGGGCAGCTAAGCAAGTGATGTAGAAGAACAAATATTTCATACTCCTTTAGTCCTTCTCCCTGCTGCTTTCATTCACATCTCACCAATATGCTGACCTGGAGCAAGCCCTGCCTCTAGTGTGACTGTAACCTTAGTAATCACTCAAGTAAGAAGTGTGATCTCCAGTAAGCCTGTGCCTTCCCAGTAATAAAATAAAAAAAAAAAAAAAAACAAAAAAAAACCCCAATGTTTGTTTTCTTATATGCTCCTTATGTACACTTATAGTGCACATTTGCACATATTCAAGCACAAGATACTAAGGAGATTTTTGCCTCAGCAGAACCCTGTGCACACACAACTAGGTGTTATCTCTTTAAATGGATGGCCTGACACTGAAGCTTGGATTTCTAAGGAACCTGGTCTTCCCCAATAAATCTAATAGAGCATTCAACAAATCATTTTTCTTTAGGGCATTCTAGTAATCGCTGCTGTCATGACCTTAAAAACATACCTTGGTACTAACATATGCCACCTATAAGAGGGCATGGCAGAGTAGTTCCTGAAGACAAATAGGCTTTGACAGATACTTCTTGGATTTTACATGAAAAGTGAAAAATGTAAAAATTTGAAAAAAAAAATCACAGGGTGAGAGCTTGGCAAAAATGCCATTATTGCTGTAACACTAATGAGTGCCAACCCAACGAGGGCTGCCAGATGATTCAATTTTGAAGTACAACATAAGTGTGGTAACTTACAGGCTTCTATAATGTATATTTTGTTAAATAAAACGTACTTAGAAGTAAATGCATTTTCCTAGTGTTTGAGCAGTTTATTCCCCGTGCAAGTGTTTGCCAAAAAGGCATCTTGAGGTCAATATTTAATAAATATATGTATTTTCTAACAATATTTTGTTTTGTTTGTTTCTTCAACGTGCTTGGATGTTTTAATTTTCTCTCATTCCTTACCTCACTGCTAGATGTGTCTATGTGCATACTACCACAAACAGCAACTTTACCATTTTCTGTTTGCAAAGCCACCAGAAACTCAGTGAACCTGAACGTTATTCAGGCAGTCAGCATCCAGCTATCACACTTCATTTAAACTAAGTCAAATTACTGTTCAGTCCTGAGATGTTACCTGTATTGGTGGCTACAGCTTTTGTTTTGTAAACAGGAGATATGGTTAAACTCACAGCTCTGGTAAATATTGCCTATCTCACAAACCTTTTTGTTCCAAAGCTTTTGTTTGCATGTCATAGCTCTTTGGTTGTCATGGTAGGACTCAATGATCTTTAAAGGTCTTTTTTTTTAACCTGAGTGATTCTGTGATTCTATGAAGTATGTTATAAACCAAATAAATACTTCTGAAATAAAATACATCATAAAAAAAATCAGGAAAAATTTCTAGATTTGTTGAATTAAAATTTTTGAATAAGAGTCATGACCTCTAGCATAGGAAACAAATGTTCAAGAAAATGATGAACTGCAAGGTCTTTCCATACACTTGTTTCCAACACAGGCAGCTATATTAGGTTTCAATTACAGGTCATGTTAAGGAATGTAGAACAACATAAACAAGGGCAATTCTCGCTTGCTGCAAAGAGAAATCAAAATAGGAATCAAAATGCTGTAAGCCAACTAACAAACATATCTCTCTGATCCATCTTTTAGCCCTTTTAGGAGGCTATATTGGTCTGTTCTTAGTAACAGTAAACTGTATTCAAACTGGTGCATAATTTGTGCTCTATCAGTTATTTGCAATACAGTTCAATGTAACAGAAAATATACATACACACAGAAAGCAGGCTCAAAAGCATTTTCATTTCAATGCAAATTCTATTTCCAGATAAAGCAAAGATTTCAATATCATGAAAGGAAATTTCTTACCGAAACAGCAGTTATTTTCAAAGAATCTATGGTAGAATGTGTGAAAAGGTACCATAAGACTGGTCCAATTTCTCCTGTAATAAATCCTTGTGCATAGCAAGAGAGAGTAGTGCAAACATTTTCGATTATCTTTGCTGCCAAATGGTTCACTGTCCGGTCTTCCTATAGAAACAATGGGAAAGGAAAGCTTAAATATCTGTAATGTTTCTGGCTTGTTTTTAAACTAGTTACTATGCCCATGTTTCATTCAATGTGTATTCTATTAGTGTGCTTTCTTAGTTTTGTTTGGTATTTGGCAAAGTTTTTTGTAGTAAATCTTAACTTATGACAACACTGTGTTTACAAATTCTACAGCCCCTGCTTTCTCTCTCACTATAAATAAAACAATTAATACAAGTATATTTTAATACAAAATATTTCTGCTCCAAACGATCACAAAATTAAATGTGGCCATTGGAAGAACAAAAAAAGGCTTTGTTACATAAGAGATGTTCTATGATGAGTTTTTCTGAAATGTGTGTGTGCCAAAATTCACCATTAAAACAGTGTCTGAATAGCATGATTACAAGATGTACATTTACACTAGGAGAAATAAAATCAAATAATTCCAACGTTCCTTATTAAGAACAATGAACAATTTCCTGGGATAAAGAAGAGGGCCTTCTTCAGAGCGTAAAGAAAAGGGTATTTTGGAATAACTGGCCTGGTACGCAGATAATCCTGACCAATGCCTATGATAAACCACTGGGTCCCATTTTCTACAGCAATTCCCAAATTTCCCTAAGGGATTCACAGTCCTGAAAGGTATTTTTAGTAATAATCAAGTCATTGATTGATTCACTTATGCAAAACCACTAAGTGATTCTTTAATAAAAAAATAAAGCTATCTACAGATGTCTCAGGTAGTCTGCAAGCATAGCTGTAGTACCTATGTAATACTATTCAGAGTTCAATTTCTACAAGGAATAAAAACCACGTTAGAGGAATGACAAGACATCAGCATACCACAGATGTCACAAATTAACTTAATTTACATCACTTAAAGGCAGCCTTTATTTCTCTCCCTCTTGTCTTTTTTTTAAGGATGCTCCTTTTCATATCTCTGATTTTGCTGTGTTTTGTTTGTTTGCTTTTTAAATTACTTTTTTTTCCAACTCTGCTTTCACTTAAAAGGAGAGCCTTTATCTTCATAGAACTGAAAGATTCATTCCCAATGTTGGTTTGGCTGTGTATCATCCCACCTTACTTCCACCTTTAACTCTGAATAAGTAAAGTCTTTCAGCAATGTCTTAAACTGCACTCTTGAGTTCAGCAGCAGTTAATTCTGAGAAGGACAATCAATTTAATTTGTCAAGTCTACCTCACAGTCTGGCTTCACAAATAATTCATTATAATATCTAATGGATTTCTTTCTTATACTTAACTCCACATTATCCTATTACCCTTTGGATTTCTGACATTCGTCTTGACAAACAATGATAAAGAAAGCTTTCAGAAAGTGGTACAAAAGCCATCCAAAAATGGAGAACGTGCACTTCATTAAAAATACATTCAATACTCATTCCTCCTCTGACAGATGGACATTCTAAAAGGCAGACACCGATGCACAAATATTTCAGAAGTCCAGTATAATATAGTTTAAAAAGGTTTTATTCATCATTTTTGTTTTAGTCCTTCATTTTCATCCGAAGAACTTCTGCTTTACTCAAAATATTTAAAAGAAATATCAAAGCCAATTCTCACTTAAAACAATTATGCTCTGCTGTAAAACTCTACTAACTCCTTTGCTTTTCCTTCTGATTTACAGCCATGAGAGCAAAGGAAAGGAGATTTAGGCTTCTGTTTTACGGTTTTCGTTACTGTAATATACTGCACCAACTCTATTAACTATCTAAATATATACACACATTTACCAAAATTCAGCTTCCCAAAACTTTTTTTTTTAATGTAACTAATATTCATTTAAAATCTATTTTTGTATGAAACTTCTGATTTTTTTTCCTATAGTTAAGATAAAAAATACATAGATTTTTTTTAGATTAACTATACGAATTTAAAAATCAAATCCATACTTTAAATGTTATTAGTCAAGTGTCTCTCACATACTACGAGATTACTAAGAATACTGAGTCCCCATTGCTACTTGGAACAAGTGGCAACAATTAATATACTCGGTACGCAGTCCTGCTCCTTTGGCTACAAGAAGGTCAGGTGTAGTCACAATGCACTAAAAACTCAATGAGGCTTTCATAATAATTCCACTTACTGCCATCTGAGATTGTCTGTCTTCACTCCCCTGAGATCTATTTCTGAGCATTGCCTAAGCAACTAAGACTTGCACCGTTCTCTGCTTAATTAGCTCTCCAGAAGAGATGTCTGACCTAAACTAATATTTGACCTCAAAACTAAAGGAATCATCCTGCCAGGTTATCAAGACATAAGTTATGTTAGTGAATGAAAAAAAAAAATCCTTCAAAATACAAATGAAGAGGTTCTGTGTAACTGCATCTAATGAAAATACGTGAGTAGAACTGTATCAAAGGAGCACATAATCCACTTTCCCTGTTTTAGCTGTATGTCTAGTTTTATAAATTGCACTGAAAGACAGAGCTGCTAAATTTCAGTCATGTCAAACACTTGCAGAAGTGTCTGTTTCAGACACTCATGGATGTTTAGCAAAAAGGAGCCCTGAGTAAGACAGCAAATGTAAGAGTGGTAGATAAACATATAAAAAATATTGTATTATTTTTTCATATTAAATCATGCAGAGAGAAATGTATTTAGTAGAAGCGTAATTCTGACTGACTGAAAATCCCATCATTTTCCTAAATCAACTTCCATATAGTTCTTCCTTTAATCTAAGACAGATAGTATTAAAATATATATATATATATATATATATATATATATATAATTTAGGGAAGTAAAGTTGTATCACGCTAAGCGTTTGTTATAGCAAGAATTAAATGTTTGGTAAAAAATTGGTAATCTAATGCTAACGAAGGAACATATAGAACTATGAACATTAAATACCTTTGTGGGAAAATAAAAAATAAACATTCCACCAGTGAGCTGGAGAAGCAGTATACAATACAGACTATTATTTTTTTATTATAGGTAAATCCATTAGAAAACTACAGAATTGATATCTAAAGAAGTTAAAGCGATGAGGAGTAGATGGTTCAAACTATATGACTTCTGTAATATAATTTCTCCCATACTTTCTGAGAAAATACACAAGGTCCAAGTTCACTGTAAAGGAACTGCTCTAGCTAGGAATAAACATTAGAAATCATTTCTATGATTGCTTTGCACGTATTATTGCCCTATATTAAATATTGGCAGTTATATTTTAAAGTCAGCTTTGATTATCAACATTTTCATCAGATTAGAACCAAAAACCTTTGATTCATATCTTGCTCCCTCATAAAGGAAGATAAAAATGTCTGCTAAATTACATGATGAGAAACTCTAATTTATCTAAAATTCTGCTTCTGCAGCACCTTGGAAAACACATAAAACAAAACTAACCTTTTAAAACTTATTCACTACTTCTGATTCAAACACTTTCTCCAGGTGCCTTGCTTAAAATGAGAGTTACACACGTTCTAATGTGAGCAACACAATTAACTACAGCTATCTATACTAACTCCTCCATGCAACTGTATTGCCTGTGTCTTTTTCCCAGGTTCTATGAAGCAATTACCAAACCTGTTGCTCATGTTCACTTGTATTTACATACTCTCCTATTTAAGCAGAAATGGACAGATACCAAGCTCCAAGCTACTTTTTGGTAGCTCCTTCCTGCCTTCACACAGGCTTAAAAGGAGGCCAGCATGCATGGCTCACCATCTAGTTTCATAGCTTCAGTGAGGGATTAGGTCAAAGCACCACTGTCCAAGCCAACGTGAAACAAGGGAAGTGAAAAAGCAGTATGGATGAGAAGTGTGAACACTACCCAAAAAAACAAAGCTTAGGTGAATCTTAAGGGGTAAACATTGAAAATTCAGAAGTAGACAGTTTTTCCACAAACAAATTTATCATTACATAGCTTCTGACTAATGTACCTCAGAATAACATTTTACTTTTAGTTATGAGCTCCAAATACCCCATAATACAAACATAGTTGTGTGTGTTCTTGATCATCTGAAGATCTGAAGATGTTAAAAATGCATCTAGACCTTTTCTCTATTAATCACAATCTGTAGGCAATAAAGATCTCAAAAAGAAAAAGAGGAAAAAAAGGTACTTCTGTTGCTTTCCCCCCTCCAGCAACCTCCGTCATGTTTTCTGCCTTGAGCTTTGCCTTGGGCAAAAATAAAGTCAAATGGTCTCATGTAAACAGAAGATGCCAATCCTCTACTCAATTCCTCTTCATTTTACAACATGGAATCATAAGCATGCTTTTATTCCCTTTCTGCAATACGGCTAAGTCAGCACCAAGAAAAATTAAGATTACAGCATAGTGTATGTAGTACAATAAAACTAATTACTGCTTTGGGGCTTCGTATGCTAATAACCCACTAGGATAACAATGCAGTTTTCCAAAACTGTATCAGACACTTTAAAATCAAAACTAAATCTTATCCAGAAATGCACCATACAGAAAGTAAATCGCAAGAAAATACTATAAACTGTCAGAACATCTCTCGTAAGAATGTCACAGTGCTACTAAATCTACTAACAGTAATTTTGGTTTACCATTTCCCAAAACCAAGCAACAGTACATAAATGTTGGACGCACAGAGAACAGCACTGAATTTTTGCATTCATCTCTGCTTAGGTCATGGTCTTATCGTGATTATTTAAATTCAAGAGTACCTTGGTTGACAAGGTAGTGCAGTGCTGCAGGCTACAATCTCACACAATGCCTAAAGGGTTATTACAGTGGAGAAATTCTATTGAGGACAATGAAAGTGCCTTACCCCTTCCCGAAGACACCTCATTAGCACAGTGTAAGCTGCTGAGGGAACAACCAAGCATTCTCTGGGGTGCTCTTTTTTTACCTCCTGAAATGAAGCCAACAGCAGAAATGATGAAATCGAAAAATCACAATAATCTCAGCCACATAAATGGGAATATAATAATAATAATGTTCATACTATACACACTGCAAATTATCGTATGCTAGAAAATATAAATTTCAAGGCAGTATTAACAATTTATGTTATTCCACATGCAGCAAAGAATTTGGCATTTTATTATTTTACTTAAGTAGTCTCTAAAATCCATAACAGAATTTGTCCTAATATTTCTTAGTTTCATCATTTCCTTCTAACTCACACACAAAGAGTGATTTTGGGCTTCTCTCAATCATTTTGATTACTTCAGAAAGGGACGACTGAATATGAAATGCAATAATGCTTCTCTTTAAATGTGATTTAATTATACCAAACAAAATAATTTTGTTTGTCAACAAAAATAAAGTAAATTTGCTTTGGAAAAAGATATTCAAAGAGAGAGACATAGAGTACTTAATTAAACTTACTGCATGGAACCATCATGACAAATCAGTATTGTTCCAAGATCCTTGGAACAATCCTTGGAAGATCCTTACGTGTATCTCCTTGAAATCACAGTTAGAGACACTGATTCATTGCTATTTGAATTAGCATTTTGATTCTGCAATTAGAAGTGAATTAACTTCCTTTTTTTTTCCCCTCCCTCAAGCTGTCTACTGTAAATTTTCAAATTTAAAAGTGGACATTTGGATATCATTAAGATTTGGCCAAAGCAAGCTCGTATCTAGGCTAACAGCACAGAGATATTAACAACTGTGAAAAAATAGTCTCTATCTGAAAAGGGAAGGACAAGACTAGGAGTGAAGACAGTTAAAACAACAGCCTATGCTGGAACCAGCAGGAACCTGTTTCTCATTTCAGCCATCTGATTAAGTAAGAAGCTTTGAACAATTTTCTCCCACTACATATATTAAATGTGCTAAAAAAATAAAAGCTTTAAGAAATGACATAGTCTTGAAATATCAATAGTTCTTCCATTTTTCAAACTGATGAATGGCTTTCTACAAGGCTTAGTCTCAAGTCAGAAATTAAAAAAAAATGAAATTTAGTACTGCTCTTAATTATCTAAACATACTCACCATTTTTTACATTTACTAAGTTTACACACATCACCAAACTTCTGAAGAGCTTCCTACTTTTTGTTCAGAGCTCCTGTTGATTTAATTAAACTTCAAGTTCTCCACCCAAATAAAACAAACAGTACAGAAGGAAGAGAAATATTACACAGAATTTGAAAGTTTTCCCCTAATGCAATTTTCTTAAGAGGACCAGAGCATTCTCTCTGTACTCAACTCACGCTGCTTACAATTTGCTCTTGGCCTCTTTGTGGAAGAGAAATACAGATACAGAGTGCAAGTGTACCCCCAATATCAGCATTAAGGATTGCAAAGGAGCACTGTGATTATTTAGACTTTTCCCAGAATTTTCTAAAGTGCAGAACTGCAACCAGGGACCCTGCAATATAACTTAATGAATCTTGCTGCATCTAGATAGTTGACAGATTAAGCACCTGATAATTTATGATTTACCAAATGCTCATGCTAATTGAAAACTAAATTATTGTTATCTAATATTGAGGTAGGACATAGAAGCACTTAGGAAACCGCAAGAGGAAAAGAAATCAAATAAATAGAAGTAAGGCACGTCCCCACAAGTTTATGGCTCAATTGGTAAGCGTTTATAAAGTCAATGTATGATTCTTAATGAATCAGACAGTTCTCTTCAATTCGTTAAGGCATAAGGCTTTGCTGTTTGAAGATATAAACTGGGAACAACCATTTCTGTTAGCTCTTATTACGCTACTACTGACTTCGTGTATGGTCTTGACATGGTCACTTCATACCCTGTTCTGCAGTTTAAACAGCAGGTAAATGTCTACCACACTAACGTATTCTGAGGTTGCATATGTACAGTGTAAAAAAAAAGATTTTTTAATAAAGAGCTCTTTTTAAAAAAAGGAAAATAATGATATAACTGACGTGTTAAGTCTCTCCAAGCACAGAAATCACACTGATATATTTGAAGTTGTAAGAAGATGCAGTGCCTTAAGATTGTAAGCACAGATGAATTTTCCTCCTCTGTAATAATTTCTTACTTCTAACTCAGAGCAATTCAACACATTGCTATCGTTCTTCCCAAAACACGACAGAGAGCTTTCATTTAAAAACAAGTTAATATGCTTGAAACATTGCAAAGCTTATAAATACACACAGACTTAACAGTTTCTCAGCTGATGTTTTCATAAGAAAAGGAAGTGTTAGGGTTAGCACATGCTAATCTCTTCAGCTATAGAGCCAACACAGACAGATTTGTTTTAATCAGTAAGGATTAATTTCAAAACAAAACCAAGCAGTGCAAAATCCTCTTGCCATACATAATCTTCAAGTTCGGATTTTTATTAGTGCTTAAAAATGAAATAGCTTGCAATCTGTCTGATAAGTATCATTTTTTTCCCCTTAAGGAAAACAGAGAAAAAAGTGAAAACATCTAAAATAAACTGTCACTGTAGAAGTACTTTCATAACAATTTCTCAGTATGAGGACGTGTTCTGTGACTTCACACATTTGACAGAGATTCTAGCAATTTCTAGCTAGCAAATGAAGCTTGCTGTTCTCCAAAAAAAAAACAAAGCAACCACTTCATTCTGTGGGACATGCAAAGGACACAGAATATCAGGAAGCCCAAATACAGATTTACTTGGTGCTTTCACTCTTTCAACAAGTAACCTCACACACAAACTGATAACTAATGTCACAGCATTCAGACCAATTAGATGATGCAGTTAATACAAACACTTCAGAGAGGCAGCTAAGTTAGGGCTAAGTTTCTTTTGTTTGAAGTCATGTTCACCTCTAATTAAAAAAAAAAAAGTATCTTATTCTTAAAATAAGTGAAAACTCAGCTCTCACAAACCATTCTCTTTCATCTTCAATTCTACTATTAGTAGCAGTTCTTGTTTACAATTAACTCATTTTTAAAGCATATTAATATTTTTAGACCGAAGGTTTAAACCAATTCTAGTCAGATATGTCCATTATTCCATCTGACATTAGCCAGATCAGTCCAGTCTCTTTCCAAATCCAAACATGCTAGGATAAGAACTAAACTGAACTAGATATATTAATTTATGGGTATCGTAGGTTGTCCTTATGCATCCTGTTTAATCAAAATCTCCAGCTAAGATAGGCTAACTCTTAGATCTGCAAGCTGGAGGCCAGCAGTCATTATAGTGACTGATAGAATTGTTTCACAAGGTTTAAATTCTATATTTGAAGAATGCAGTTAAATTTACATCAGAGGAAGTACAAGATCGGCTTAGCATGTTCCTTAAGAAGTAGAGAAAGTATTATAAAACATACAAGGACAAGAAACTCTTAACAATAGAGATGACAGAATTTTTTACCTACTTCCAATAATAATTTTTTCTTTATAATCAATTAAAGAAATTTGTAAGGATCATGACAGTCTTACCTCACTGGCTACAAGATAAAGAAGCTCCCCAAGTGCTGGTAAAAGGCATTGTTTCAATTTGCTATTTCTGAAGTTCTCTCTGATGAGTTCAGTTAGAAGTATAAATGCCTAAAATACAAAGAAATGATATAACAACATGTATAATCCTTTCTCAAGCAAAATGAATCATTAAAGGTTACAGCAGCTTTATCTGAAATGCCATCAGAACGATGTACTCTTCAATTCTGCTAAACAGCCATTTGCAAAGGATTTAGTAAGAACAGAAGGAAAACTATAATTACAACACATATATATGCAACATGAACAAAAATACAATATGTAAATAGCCTAGGTGATAATTTGTCACCATCAGGTTACAAAAACAACAAAATGCTGTATTTTGTTTAGATATTGAATCAGAACATACAAACCCTTATAATTTTTCCTCCCGGAAATCACTTTCCCACAAACATCAGGTTAAAATCTGTAAAAACTGGACTAATGCCAGGCTCAGTATGGAAAGCAAGAGACCATTTAGCTACCACACATTAAACTGAACAGTGTGTAATCTGGCTGGGATACAGCCAAGTCTCCAAATATGCTCCCTTACGTAGCAAGCATATAGCTAGAGAAGGCAGCAGAGGGGCAATCTGACAGACTGGCATCCAACATGGGATCGGGTATGAAGCTAAGGTGTGGAACTGAATTCCTCCATGCAGAAACAATTGTACCCACTGACATTCACTGACACCTGCTGAACATGTATGGGGACTGAACCATGGATGTGAGCACAGTGAGGCAGAGGGTGGTGCATTTCAGCAGGGATGACAGTAACCTGAAAGACAAACCATGTTCTCGACAGCCAAGCACAGCTGTCACACCACAAAACACAGTGTGTTTCAGTAAGCTCATCCACTGCTACTGTTTTTGTCACTTCATACTTAAACTTAAGAAAGTTGACGACTTAAAGTTTAAGCTAAGTTATTTTCTTCCCCGTTCATTAGGAAAAAGAAAACCTGCAAAAAAGGCAGTCAGCTGTACAATAAACTGAAGTTCTCATTTGAATAAAAGAAATGGTTTGTTGAACAGATCTGAATAAAGTCACTAACTGACCTTTGATAAAACCATTGAATCTTTGTTTAAAAAAAAAAAAAAAACTAATAAATGAATTGCATGATTTTTTTATACTGATTACTTCCATTTATTTTTCAATAAGGGGTCACTTGAGTAACTGCAAGCAGACACATAACAAGAAACACGAAAACTGCATGGGAGAGCTAATGCAGAACAAACAGTTACCATGTTACAGAGGATGCTTGATACTCTTAAAGATGTTTTTGGTACTTTAAATACAAACCTATATTTACTATAGACACATAATACCTCCTCTTTAAATTGCATACAGCCCAATGCTTGCAATGTGACCACTCTGTTCACTGAAAGCATTTGAGTAATCAAACATTACCCAAGTGCAGGATCTCACAGAGCATGTCACATACTGATCAGTTTGTGCTGGTAACCCTACTTAAGCAGCAGCTCTTCACATGTCCTCTGCAACAGAAGCTATGCAATATCTATACTACATACACAATATAATCACATAAAATAAATTCAGAATTATATACTACTGCATAAAGAATTCATGAATATATATTTTAGCAATGCATATTAAATGACCTAAAAGGACAGCAAGCATTTCCTGCTATGTTGTGTACACAAATAACTTCTGTTCCTGATAATAGTGATTTTTAACAGATTTAAAATACTTGCTCATTCTTTCACAAGGAAATGAATATAGTGTAAATAACTACATTAAAAATAAATCTGCCCAGAGATACCAGGTTAAAGTATGGTATGAGCTTTAGGCAAATTGAAGTTTATTAGCTGGAAAAAAAAAAAGTTCAAAAAGCAAATTTCTGTTAATTGCACAGTCTGACAAATAAAACTCTTTTCTCAGCTATAACACATTCTTTCCTTTCAACCTCTCTACATTTTCCCTTTCAATGACGTGAGTAGTAATGATCTTCAAGTCTTACATCTGCTAAAAGCATCTTAAATTCAGTATAGTACTTAGACGTCTTACAGTAGCTGTCAAGCCAGATGGATGTAGCTTTCATAACAGAAGAAAGATGCTTGGTTCATATCTGGAAAGGCAGTCATTACCTTCATTTACAACAACAAAATGTGGAGTTGGTATATTATCTGTAGCAGATTCTCAACTCATTTCAAGTTACATCTAGAATTCTCTCTGCAGTCTTATCAGTCCAAGAAGTGAAAACTGCAGCATATTCAAAAGGAGGTGGTATTTTATACATTACAATTTAAGTGGCAATTTTCAGATTTACAACATTACTACATCTTTAATCTGTTAGTATGAATGTTTGCAAGCATTAGCAGAAAGTAAAAAGTTACGTTTGTAATTCTGCAAACCTTTACAGAGATTAAAAACTGTCTATGCCTCAAGCACCATGGAAATTACTCCTCTTTTTTTTCTTGCAAGATATAGTGAAACATATGCAAGTAATGCCATGGAAACCTCAATTTCCTTGGAGAAAATAAGTCTCAGCAGGCTGAGAAAGTACACCACACACAATAACTACTGTACCATTACCCAGGAAAGAAACTCCGTTATATTTACTCCAAGTACTTATTTTTAAAATGAAATATGAAGAACCAAGAAGAGACCAGCATTCTCTGAACATCTCAAACACATTGCTTACTTTCCTCTCACTAAGATGCATAGGTAAAACATTAAAAGAGATGACTTAAGCAGGTGTCAGATCCAAATATTCCTGTGATTCTCTACATGTCAGTGAAAGCTGTTCAATAATTGAGTGACTTGACTGAAGAGGGCAGTGACAGGACAAAAACAGTTCTGTCAAACTCTTCTTTGGGGCGCAGACAGAAGAGGAAGGAGCCTGAAGAAGCAAGATACTCTAGTTTTACAAATTTTACATTCAGTGCAATAAACTGGGTCACAGAACATAGAATGGCCTGGATTGGAAGGGACCTCGAGGATCATCAAGCTCCAACCCACCTGCCACAAGCAGGGCTGCCAACCTCCATATCTAATACCAGACCAGGAATACTAGAACATGAATAAAGAAAGGGAAATCTGACTCAAGACTATAAACACAGTATAAATAGTTTTCAGAATGTAGAAAAAAGAAGAAATGTACAACATACTGCACAATTTATGCAGGAGTATAACACATCTAAGGTGCAATATGCATAATGTTTCTTCAGGTGGAATATCATGTGTAAGTTGACTGAATGTGAGAAATCCTACTTTCTTGAATTTTATGTAACTGTTATAGGAAAAGGCCTTCACAAACAAATGGAGCAGCTAACCTAAAATTCAAATGCTGATTCCATTAACACACTTTGTAATCAGCTCAAGATCCCAACTGAAAACAAGAAGACACAAGCATTAGGAAATAGCAAGGACATCCTGAAAGTAACTCCTCTCATTTTATTATGTTAGTCCATAAGATCAAAGGTAGATGCTGGTGATATGACAGTAGTGCTTGTATGCTCCCTACAGTATTCAGTTATACATTACTGCCATACAACAGATGGTAGGAGAGAGGCAGTGTGACATGGAAGTGCATCTGAAGCAAAGGTGTGGAACTGAATTCCTTCATGCAGAAAATACTACACCCACTGGCATTCACCAGCACTTACATTATATTTCTGGAGACCTGTAATGTGACAGAAAGCATAACGAGACAGCAGAATAGCAAGGTCTCAGGCTAAAGCAATGGAGGATCTGCTTAGATGTGATAGCAGTGGGTACAGAAATAAAGGAAACTGCTTACCTTGGGAAGGTTTATATAGTCCCCAGAGAAGTAAGGAACTCCAAATGAGATCCCTCATCTCTACTGCCAATCCTTAAATAGGGCCTGGGAGAAGGTGGATCCTGCCTCTACCCCTTTCCAGTCACTCAGCTGCATTGCATGCACTGAGCTCCCCTGGGTTGGCCCTGCCTTGCAATGGGTGCTCAATCACTGGTCCAGGCCATGACTTTGTATTTCCACTACACATCCAAACAGAGGACATTAGTACAGTGAAAACTGGACTGTGTGGGCACCATTTTCCTATTGATGACATCGTCATAGCAGCTATGAAGGTGTGGGTTAACTCTATTGGTGCAGATTTTTACGAGCATGGCATACAGGCTCTTGTTCATTGCTGGTGAAAAATGCATAGCTACCAGTGGTGACTGCTGAAAAATAGCATCTTGTAGCTGAGAATTTTCTCTATCAAATGTGTTCTTGTGTTCTTTGTAACTGTTGTCGTTTCCATGGAAATAAATAGAAGGCAGTACTTTTGGGGGCAATCTACCTAATTATAAATCTGTAACATTTGCTAACAAATCAAAAACGTACCAAGTCAAAAACCAGCAACAAACAAACACCACCTGTGTACTGGCTTCAGGATTTATTTTGTTTAGAAGAAGTTAGTTCTTCTCCCCCTTGTGAGAGATGTACCACAGTTTAAGATGCTCATAAGCAATTCAGTTTCCCCCACCTTTTAAGTTTGAAGCTTTTTAATGATGGGAAGTATCACGTAAATGTGTTTGCCTCAAACAGAAGGGATGTTCTGTGTTCATTTTTGCCAGTGGTAGCAATGAAAAGGATTACTCAGGTGTCCAAGAAGTGAAGGGTCCTTGAATTAGGAGATTTCTCCCTTCAAAACTGCAGTCGGTGACCACCAGCTGAAGATTGACAGCGAAAAATGCTTACTAGAGCTCTATACATCAATCTTCACAAAAGAAGATTTGTCGGGAACATCTAAGCAAGTGGTTCTCTTTCTTTTTGTTCTCCTCATTTTTTTCTTCTGCATCATTCTTTATCATTATTTACATGTTTCTACTGTTCATTTGTGCCTTTTACAAGTTTCTGGATTTTTATTCTTTTCATTAACTGTGTGCGATATACTCTGGATCATCCTTTGCTTCTGGGCAATGTGTTTATTATTAACTTGAATTAGAAACCACGGTGAGGACACTACTGAAGTTCATCAATAAAACACTCATGTAGAGATACTTACATTTATTTATTTGTTCTACGTAGACTATGTCATATTTTAAAAAAATTATATAGGCACACAGTATTTTCTATTATTTT